ATTGATTGCTCGCCACTTGAATAATATTCTGCGAGCAGCACATATCATTTGATCTCATTCCCGAAAGGTTTCTGCGGCCTTAGCCGATCATGCACAATACATCTATCTTACGGCCTTCCTTCATCTGTTTGCAGGAGTGATCACGTAGATTCGTCGCGCCGCCAGCGTGAACCATCCCAGCGATTCCGAGCCCGGGTAGATTCGTAAGAAATCGATACGCGGCGAACCTGCCACCTGCTGGCAGCCTCTCCGTCCACCCTCATATAAGTTACACCGGTAGCTTCTTTGCGTTCGTTTCTAGGGCACAGAGAGCACCCTTCTAAGAAGTCCAGAGGTCTTTTCCGGAATTCCGGATGAAGGCCTTGATTTCGCCCCATCTGCAGCTCGATCTCTTCCCTAAGCCTTTAGCGCGGTTTCAGCTGCTGCACTCCCTGTATCCGTATCATTTGCCTAAACAACGAACGCACGCACTGTCGAGACACGAGCTTCCTGTCACTATGCAAATTAGGATATGAATAGGGATGCAACACGTATGGCAAAATTGCCAATGCGTTTAATGCACGAGTTACGCCGAAAACTCAGGGCGAATGAATAATTTTGGTGTGCGACAACTCAATAAGATAGGCATAGATAGGCGTATAATATCGCTAGAAAAGGGAGATAGACAGGGTGTAGAGAGGATATTTCGAATAATAATTGTGTTTTCAAATAAATAACGTAATCCATTAAACACTAAAAAATATAAAATATGGAACATCTTGTTATATCTTTGAATGTTGTGTAAATTAAAATGTTGTTTAAAACAATACGTAATTATATCATAACACAACAACTTTTATAATAAAATATTTATTTTAATTTTTTGCATCGCACAGCATAGTGATTTTATCTTATCAATTCTTTTATTCTTTAATTATTCAACTAATTCAGAATAGCCTTCTTGTATTCTTATAACATAATTAATATACCCAATAAAACTATATATTATTACTATTTAAAATTTAGAGTTTATATTGGAATATTGAATTTTATATTTGATATAGGAACTTCTGAAATAGAAACCAGGTATAAATTATTGAAAAAAATCATTAAATCATTGATTGCTCGACACTTAAATAATATCCTTTGGCAGATGACATTTGAGTCAATCTATAAATACAACGGCAAACCAGAGCACGAGGTACAATTGTGACAAATAAATCTACTAAAAATACATTGTGATCCATAAAATGTATTTAGCATTGACCATTTCTTTCTGATATTTAAATAATTGATCAAAATTTAGAAATATAATTCAAAAAGTCATAAATCAAAAATATTTATAAGATAATATTTTTATAACTGATTTTTTGAAATATTTGTATAAATTAATAAATTATTATTATCCTTTTCTTGTATTTATGTCTCTTTATTGTATATTTAATATAATATTCTGTGTGTTCAAAAATATTAATAAATTCTTCATTTATTTCTGTTTATTTCTTAATTAAATGTATTTATTACACCTGTTTATACGCACACAATTTAATTATATCATAATTAGAATTGCATAAAAGAGAAGAAACAGATTTTAATTAAATATTAAATTAAGCAAATTACAATCTAAAGATATTGAAGGATTGATATTTCCATGTGATCTCTTTAATAATCATATATTCATAATAAATTTGGAAATATATTATTAGTATATATATATATATATATATATATATATATATATATCTAAAGCTAGAGATATTTCTTAAATATTTAAAATCCATATTTGTAATTATACATAATTTTATGTATATTGCGTATGATTTAACACAAACAAATAAATTAATTAATTAATTAAGAAAATATTCAAAAATTATTTAAACTGTATCTATTTACTTACAGTTTATAATTTTGTTCTATATTTAATTAAAAGAAAGAATATTATTTTCATTTCTATTCTCTCTATTATCTCTCTCTTTCTCTCTGTGTGTGTTTGCCTCGTAAATGACGTTAACGAGCAAGACAAAGGAGCAATAAGCACCATCATTAATTTCGAAAGACAGCTTTCGTCAAACATCTATCTATATATATTTTTTAATTTTAAGATATTGCGTAATTAAAATAAAAAAAAAAGAGATACGAGCTATTGTTATAATTCTCTGTTATTATATCAATTCATGTAATAAAAATTTTGGTCGAAATATCTTATTTTCGCTTTTTTATAACGACGAAATATGCTTATATACTATGCTATATACGTGAAAAGCACTCTTCAAACTCCTTGAATTCTGACAAGAGAGAAATTAAACGAAGAGCTGTAAACTACGTTACAAGTGAACAGCAAAATAGCAAAACTGCCATCCTATTCATGTTTAACTTTATCTTTATGAAGAAATTTTACATCGAAAATGTTTTTCAATCTTACTAAACGATCAATACGTTATACAAAGAGGTGAATCGTATTTATTTCCTTTTTTATATTTTATTCCTTTAAATCAATTTAAGTTAGTAAATTGTTCAATAAATTATCTTTAAGTCATGTAATTGTTTTTACAAAAGTGCAGATTGAAATTACTCTACGATAAAAGAAAAAGAAATGATTCGCGATAACTTTGTGTTGCAAAAAATTAATCGCATGAAATATAAAAACAATTAAATAGCAATTAATTCAAATTTCAATTAAATAGAAAATTCGTCCTCAACTAATTACTAGACATTCCTAGATAAAAAGAAATACACATGAAACTTTTTTCACAGCTTCTTTGTTCTCGATATCTCCCTTTAAGAGAAAATGCGTTTATATGCCAAATCGAAACACGTTTGTTTCACAAATTTCGACCCAATTTTGCGGTTCGAATTTTTGCAAAAAAAAAAAAAAAAAATGTTCGTCGGGTTGATTTTTTCGTGGCAGTCCGGCGTGTAATACGAAGCGGCGAACTTCCTCAAGCTCGAAAAGAGATTAAATAGAGAGGAAAGGAAACGCGGCGCGGCCGTACGAGAGGCGCGTCAGTTTATACGAAGACACGAGCAACGGGTGTTGCGCTCGCACAGATATTGATCGCTCGGGTCACGCAACAGGCTGCTTGTCAGGACACCACTTGTCAGGTTGTGCTCCAAGGTAGGCAACCCGCCCGAAGGACCTTCTATGCGATAATCCGCGGAGTTGAGAATTCTACAATAATTTATAAGACGAGAATGCGCGCCGTTATATGTACGGGAGATGATTAAACATTGCATGATCTCGAAATTATGTGCACACTCGATTCCTATGTCGATTTGCTGAGTATTGTGTGTGTATATATACATATATATATAGCAGGCGCGATCGAGTTAACGTCGTTTAATAATTTCCACACCTCGTATTCGCTTTTCCCCGTGAATATATTTACGATAAAATACGATAGAATGGAGTAAATTACACAGTATTATTAGATTATTATTTGTACGTGCTGAGTATTTTTTAATTTCCATAAATAAGTATCTTGAAATTTTAATTATAAAATGAGATATTTATGTTATTCTTTTGATATTTCTTTGATAGTTTCTAAAGCACTTTTTAGAAAAATTATTTATATAACAAATTATATACTATAGTTATGTAAATTTTAGTTTAATATACCAATGAATTAGTTTTTATAAAGTGTATAAATATAATATTGTAATAATGACAAGTATAATTTTTCATAAAAATAATACAAATTTGAAATTTTAATTTAATTAATCAAATAAATCTCATTGATATAAATATGTAAATAAAAAATCAAATATAAAAAAAAATGTACTTGTTCAATAATATTATTCATTCTAAACAGCGTAGCATTCAAATTTTACATTTATATTTTATATCTTTTTTATTATAAACTAATAATAAAAAAGCTCTGATATACGTATATATATATATTATATGCCTGCAGTATATATATGTAGATAAGTCTTTGATAAGTCCTCAAAGCGAAGACAAGATGAAAAATAAGGAAAGAAAAATGCGTACATCATGACTTCATCAGCGATAAAACAACACTAACGATTGTAAAATATACATAAACAGGTCATATATAAGCTGCCATCACGCATATGTGATAAAAAAGCACGCAAGAGGAGGAAAATAAGACATCTTTTGAATCTCGAGACTTTTGAATCTTATATAATGGAACCTCTTAAGCTCGAAAATTTTTATTTTTATGAAACTTTGCACGTAGGAGAAATAAATATAGAAATTTAGAAATTTTTAATTGCAACCCAAAAACAATTTTTATAAAGATGAAATCATTCTTCAATAGCTATTTTTTTCTTCTCGCGATGTATCTCAAAAAATATTCGAAATATTAAAAAAGAATGTTTTATACGAAAAAATCTTATATAGTAAGAACACCTCTATTTAATTATGCAATAATAAAATTTTGAAAAAAATAATTTTTTTAGATTAAAATAATCTTTGTTTTAATTATTTTTTCAAAATATTAATATTATTAATGTAAATTATAAATGAAGGTGTTCTCATTGCTATAAGTCTTTTATATTATATCTCGAATATTTTTCGAGATATAAAATATCTATTGAGAAAAACATAATTGATAATTTCATCCCTTAGAATTGTTTTTAGGCCGCAATTAAAAAATTCTACATATACATTCATCTATTTACATTCCTACATGAATGTGTAAGTGTAAGATAATGTGTGTGTAATAAAAATTTAATCAAAATCAGAATTTTCGCGTTTACAAGGTTGTTAATAACACAGAACAGATAATAAAATAAATCTCTTAATCTCTTTAATCAAAACCTCAACTTTATCCCAATTAAATTTATAATTCAGTAATCAATTACTCACCAAGTCGGAGCAACGCAACTTCCTCTGGCTGATTCGAAGTCTCAAATCTCAAGTGTCAACAGTAGTGCCAACCTATAAAATAATATGCAGGGCTGGAAACAAATCCACCAATCACAATCGTTCTTATTTCACGATTCTGATTGGTCGATTGGCTTTACATTTCGTTTATGTCATCTATGTACTTTATGTTTATGGACGATCCTGCTTTCTTCAATTTAACCTCTTTATAGCTGTTCATTTATGTACATTTGACGTGTCACCCGGTGATCCTGATACTTGTTACACGTGTACGGAAAAAAAATACAGATTTCTTATTTCCTAGTATCATATACAAGAATCGACGATGACAGCATTAATGGTATTACATAAATTCTGGTTGGAGTACACGAAAAATACACCTAAGAAACTGAAAATTATCGATGCGTACTTATTGTACGTGTTTCTTACTGGCGTTACTCAATTCATTTATTGTTGTCTTGTCGGCACATTCCCCTTCAACAGTTTTCTCAGTGGTTTCATATCCTGCGTATCCTGCTTTATTCTAGGAGGTACTTAGAATATGTTATTTGACACTTCTTTATTTACATTATTTGTTCTTTGTATCTTTGCATAGTTAAAACATTGAATATATTTTTTATTACACACAAAAGGATATGTTAAATATATAAAATTTATTGAAATTTTTGTTCTGTCGCACTTAGCTTATTTTATTATTAATGAATTATGAATTTGAAATATTATATCACATATTTATTCTTATACACTTTACCTTATATATAAAAAATTATTACATAAAGTAATAATTGATTCACATATTTTATACGTTAAATGATTGTGATGTATATATTTGTAAAATGTATATATGTATTTTTTGTTTCAGTTTGTCTTCGATTGCAAGTTAACCCGCAAAATAAAAGTCAGTTTCACGGTATAAGCCCAGAAAGAGGATTTGCAGACTTTATTTTTGCACATATCATTCTACATATTGTTATAATGAATTTCATTGGATAGAGATACACAAATGTGTTATTAAAGCAAATCAACATACTTCATATTTTGTTAAAGAATAAATTATTTCTGATAGAGTATATTACTTTTTTGTATTTGTAATTATAATTCATGATTTAATAAAATTATATATACAATATTAATAATTGATTTTTTATACAATAAATAATTATGAAATTATTTTAATTCTTTATTTGTTAAAATATATGTATAAATTTATTATATGAATTTCTCTTTCTGTATGAAAGTTTTATGCGCAATATATATAAATTTGTAGTAGACAATATAGAGTATAAAATTATCTATACAAAACAAAGATTTAATCGCTATATATCAAATGTATATTAATACTTGTAAGAAGGTTATATATATATATCCTGAATTAATAGCAATAATACTATAAAACATCAATGGTAATATATTATAAAATATATTAGATCAATACTACAAAATACTGCCAATATTTTTCAATGATATGAATATTAGTAAAAATTATCTTTTTCTATTGGTTGTAGATATCATTATGAAAAAATATTATTATATTGCTATTATTTTATAATAATTAATATTATTATTTTATTTAGTCTATACAGGATATATCAGAAACTGCACAAGCAAAATAGAAATAATTTTACATGCAAATGTAAGATAAAAATGCAGGAAAAATTATTTTTATATTAAGTTAATTTTTTCAAAAAAAGTTTAATTGATTTTTAAGAAAAAAAAAATGTTTTTAAAGCAGTATTTTTGTTTATGTAACTTAGTAGTCATTTACTTTCTTTTTATTAGTTTAATATACAATAAAATAAAATATCTATTATTCTATGCTAGAAATTAATATAAGATTAATATTTTTGTTATGTAAAATTATATATTATGTAAACAATATAACTATACAAGCTATAATATATTTTATTTTATTGATTGTATACAATGCCAAATAAAAGACAAATATTACATTACGATAGAGAAGATATAGAACATGCTCATATTGACAAAGATCTTAAGAAAAAATTCATAATTTACTATAGAGATTAATTAATTTTTAAGAGATTTAGAAAAGCATTATTGGACTGTCTTTTAATTTAGTACCCTTCCTTACCCAGCTAGATGTATTCTTTAAAAGTAATATAATTCAATTAAGCTTCTTCAGTTATGAAAATATTCTTTTCTAATTTTTCGCACATTTTATTTACACACATACAAATAAAAATAAATTTAACTTTTTACTTGAATAAGAATTAGATTTGCTTATAAAATAAAATAATTTAAATATTTTGCGAGAAGTAGTAACTATTGTATCATTAATAGGTAAAAAAATAATATTATTAAGAGAGTTACATACAACAAAAATAATCAATTTTGTATAAGAATATGCTATATATGCAGAAAGTTACCTCAAACAAAAATTATCTTAAAAAGTTTATCACTTATTTTATACTTATATACAACTTAAAGATGATAAAATAAATAGCTTGATAAATACGTATAAAGTTCTAGTAATAAATGTTCACGCTGATATTATTAATAAAATAAGTTTTTCTCATTTATTAGATGCAAATTTGCACTAATTTTTATAATGTACGAATATTATACAGATAAAGTGTTTCACAATTCGCAATCTTTATTTTAACAGATATTCTGATGAACAATTTATAATTTAAAGCATTTATAATTTATGAATTACATATAAATAAAAGATTTCAGAAACTTAAAAAAAATAAGTAGAGAATACAACATTAAAATATCAAATTAATTTTAAATAAAATTTGAGACCTTTAACTCAAAAGATAATATGAAGACATAATATTGGATATATAAGCATTCTCGACATTTCTGTTAAGAAAAACAATTTCAAATTAGTTAGAGAATCTGTTATTAAAATTATGATTGCGAGTTAGAACACTATGTATTTATCTTATAAATATTTTCGTATATGTTGAATGCATATGTGTGTGTGTAAATAATATAAATAATCTTTGTGTCAAATTTTATCACATAAGTTAAAAACTGAAGTTGTAAATATTAATATTTGCATAAATAAAGAAAATATAAAAATATTTCATAAAACTCATTAAAATTATATTATATATATATATATATATATATATATATATATATATGTTTAATGAGTTTATGTATATACATATAGTTTTTGATATCATAAACATATATGTGCACGTATGTGTATAAATATTAATAAAATTAAGAGTATTCAAGTATAAGTTATTTATTATTTAGAGCTCAGAAGTTTTTTTATAATAAATTTTGTTAGATGAAATAAAATCTCTTTATGTGTGAGAAAGCAATAAAGAATTATTTTTAGTTATATTAAACAATATAACAAATTACTTATTTTTGTGACTGATATCGTTTATATTGACTATGTTATTACTACAACTCAATAAATTATTGGAGAATAGCATTTCACATGTACACAAAAAAAATAATAAAATCAATTATAATTTTGACGAGTTTAATTTTCGATATAGATCTATATAACAAAGAACTTGGTGTAAAAATGTTGTATTTTTTATTTGAATAAATATTAGAATTATTATGTTGAATCCTTTTGATAAAGAACAAAGAAAAAAAGATCTAACAATAAGGTCTATATGAAATTTCTCTACATCACTTTTATATATTTAATATTATTAAATATTTTAAGAAAATTCATAAACTTCTGAACTCTACTTCACATTACACATAAAATCAAAATTTACAATTCGTTATTATAATTTTTACATTTTTGTGAAATAAGTGCATTTATATATATTTTAGAAAATATAGTCATCAATTTTAGATTAAAATAATTAATCTAAACTTTTACAATTAATAAAATTTTAACACATACAACTATAGATATATGTATGTGTAAAAAATTTTACAAATTAAGAAATTTTTTTAAATAGAGAATTTTATAATTAAGTAAGTATGTATTTTATATTTGACTTGATTACAGGCACAAATGCAGAATAGATGATTATATCTTCAAGTAAAGAATTTTGCTCTTTGTATTTCTCTATGTAAATCATGATGATTATACTTATTATAAAATAAATAAATAAATGTGTATAATCTTTTTAAAAATAACTATTAGTTTTACTACGCATAACTAAATCAATACTTATTGAATTGGCACGTGTCACACTTTAATTTACTTATGGCACTAAATACATAAATTAAAATTTGGTATAATTATTACAATTAGAAAATAAATATACAATATTCTGACGTATTCGTATATATAGTTTACTGTTATTTTAAAAATTATATAAGAAGTATTGTACAAGAAAAATAAAATCTAGACAAATATTTTAATTTGCTCGAAAGTGGACGACAATGCAAACTTATAAGCTTTATCAAAGAGCCTAAAAAGATAAACTGTATCACCTATACAATTTATTTCCTAAAATGTATGTAATAATATGTATTATATTACATTACTGTGTAGGCATTAGTAAGTTTCACCAATGGTCTGGTGTTTAAGTAAGAGATTACATAAAAATCTTAATTTCGTCTTCTAGTATAATTTATTCGACTCATTGTAGATTTCATCACTACTCAATGGCATTAGCGCAATGTTAATAATCGTTCATGAGTATATCATTCACAACCTCTCGATATTCTTAGCAAAATTGTCGTGCCTAATCTCTTAACTGTGACTTAATTTACTGTTTTCGGAACATTAAGAACGTTAACTGTTAAACACACCAAAAATCTTTTGATACACTCTTGCTGTATTTAATGATCAGTCATCAGCAAAGAGTACATATGTTGTCTACAATCTTGTCTTATACTCAAAAAGAAAAAATATGCAGCCTGCCAATTTTACATCAGCTATGAAGCTCTGTGACCTAAATTCAAAATAATATAACAGGTCTTACGGCCGCTTATTATCTAGGATTATAGTATTTATTATCTATGAATTTGTCGACTCAATTTCAGATTTCTGATGTTTCTCTATATATCTTCTGCGTGCTGTTAATCGCATATGCTCTTTGCGTCGTTGAAGTATAAGTTCTCTCTCAGTAGATGATTTCGAAAAACGTCCACCAAGATTCGAAGGTTCTTCTCCACTATAAGAATAATATAAAGTAATATAAAATATATAATTATTATGTGTATGTGTATGTATATATATATATATATATATATATATATATATATATATGTGTGTGTGTGTATATATATATATAAATTCTACAAAAGTAATGCCTATTATGAAAAGTTTTTTATTTATTAAAGTTCTTTATCTCTTATTTAAAATTTCTGATCTCCAATATATATATTTCAAATTAATATAATTTATATTATTTGTTCAATTAATATTCAATTTATATATCTAGAGAAAATTTGATATTTTAAAGTTTCTAATAAAAATCATAAATAAATTCAGAGATATATAATCAAAATCAATTAGTAAATAAAAATGATAAAATATACAATATTTTTCCATGTATTTTTAAAAATTTTTTGTATCTCCATTACCTATCAGCAAATGGAATATCGAATCTAGGATCCAATGAATTTTGAACCGAAGAACTGGGCATAATATTTGTCATGCTTGTTTGCATCTGTGGGACGGATTCTGCTTGCGGTTCTTCGATCAAATGATGCGGTATAGTTAATACTCCATCAAGTATATTTTCTACTGTCCATTCGATTGATCGAGTCATTCTAAGATCTTCCAAGATGATATTGCGAGGATAATGAGGGAAAAGTTGCTGAACCTAACAAAAAAGATTTTTTTTGTTATTTTTGTTATATAACTAATACCTATATACTTTCTTTTTATAAATTAAAGTAATAAACTTTTATAAAACTCTATAAAATTTATTTGTAAAATACTCATAAAAATAAAAAAATTAATGATTTTATAATTTAAAATTAAATTTTTATGAATAAGTACCTGTCTTGCCATAGTATCCATTTGGGAATTAGTATGTGCCAATGTAGAGATGTTACCACGTACTCTATTATGCGAGACCTCGACAGAAAAACTGGGCAACCAAGATACATATCTTGAGCCATCGAGGAAAAGAAAGAAATGATTGCCATTTCTTCTCGTAGGAGTCTGTGGCTCAGGCGGTATTTCTGGTGTATTCTCTCTATGATTTGCTTGCATACTCAAGGCCAATCGACAAGTGGGACACGAAGTGTCCTGTTCTAACCAGGATTGCAAGCACGAATTATGAAACAAGTGTGCACAGGGCAATTTACGAGCGCTTTCCATCCTTTCCCAGCATATTGCACAATTATCAGAATTCTCGGCTAATTCTTCTTGTGAAGCCATTGGATAACTAAAAATGAAAGTTATTTATTCCACAAAATCTTTATCAATTTGTTTTTATATTATACATATACACAGGGTTTTATATCTAAAATTATGCATCTTTTAGTTTATGATAATAAGTTATAATTGTGTAGATTTTATATATAACTTTTGAGTATGCTTTAAATAGCTCTATCAATGCAACAAAACTAAATTAACACAATCATATTATATAACATATATGTATATAAATACTTATATTATAAATATATTACATACTTTTGTTCCATGTGATTCAGTACAGCTAAATAGTTTCTGTGCTTCGTGATTCTCCGTTGTATCTCGTAAAATAGGTATCTAAGTTGCATGCAAATCACTAGCGATGCCATGCTTAAGAAAATGTTACTCCACAAAAGCATGTGACTGTGATGAAAGAAGTCAACTGCCAATACAATCAATTCTGATGTCAAATCCGTGTAGTATGTTAAAGGGCCACGTTTGTCCCAAGATCGTTGCGCCGAAGTACCAGCGCCACGTGTATCATACAAATGAATCACATAACGTAGCATCACATGAATAGTACGTACTCCAAGCAGGATGCACTGTTACAGAGAAGAATAAATAAATATTAAACAAGATGAGATTAATCAAATATTAAATTCTCTTTATATAATAAACTTCGTATTTCTTTTAATCTTATTTTAAAGTATAATTCTTGAATTGAAAAAAATTAAAATAATTCTGATAACTTGCATTTAAAATATAATATTTTATATTTAAACTATAAAATATTTATATAATTATAATATATATAAAATAGATGACTGAGTTTAATTCATTTCTAAGTATTATTTCTATCTGAATTTTATTTATTTAATACAAGAAATACAGTTATGTGCAAAATAATAGCACCAATTGAAAAAATAAGGGGAATTTGTATATTTCCTCCATCATCGAAAAGTGATTATTAAAGGATTTTCTGGTATTCGTCAGTTCGTTCAAAGTCGACCACCACAAAAGTCAGAATTTAATCCTAGATATACAGTCAAGACAGTTAAACATGGTGGTGGAAACATACAAATTCCTCTCATTTTTCTCAACTAGTGCTATTATTTTGCATATAACTGTATATAAGCTTTCAATACATAGGTTTTCAATTCAACCATTTTCTGTTGAATTTAAAATCAATATTTTCTTCACAAAATGTTTCCAAATTATAAACAATTGGCAAAGAATATTTTACCATATATTTTATCATAAACTTTGAACAAATCTTCAAAGAAAAACTGATAAATAATAGAATCATATTTTTTAGTTATTTTTTAAATACATTATTTTTAACAGAATTTAATGTTTCTTCAAGATTTTGTATAAATAAATAAAATTAAAAATTGAATAATTCTTATAAATAATGGCTATAATTTTCGAGAAATGATTAATGCACTGTTACGATTTACCTCAGCTGCCATAAAAGCAAAAGTGTTGAAAGATATGAAGAAGAAAACTGCAGCAGTGCACAGTAAAAGCATGAAGGAAGATAGTGCAAAAATTGCCGCCAATAATCCAAGAAGTCGTGCGTGACTCCATCCTGGCGTGGTAGGTGAAAAGGACAGCTGAAACACGAACATTAGATATATATATATATATATATATATATATATATATATATATATATATATATATATAAGTATAGATTACATGCACTGCAATTCTGTAGTCCACATTTCTTAGGTTTATGAATTAGATATTTCTTCAACCATGTAACATTTTTTATCAATTGTTAATGCTTAATTATTTTAAACTAGAAAACATTTTAAAGTAAACTTATTTTTATTTTAAATTAAAATTGATATGTGCAAAACTATAAAGATGTTTTTATATTTTGTTTCAAGATAACTACTTAAGATCTCTATTGTATTTAATTTTTATTGTTAGACTCACATATTCAAATCGATCCTTGCAGAGTTGACTAAGAAGACTAAGGAAGCCAAGAGCTGTAAACCATGCCCACCACAGTACGACCTCGTCCATGTATTGTACGTTCAAAACGCCAAAAACAAAAATAAATTTATAAAAAACAAAATTCCAAAATTTGTCCTTCAAATGTTGTCTTTCCGAAACACGTAGTTCACCAAACACAAGCTTCTGAATAGATTTGCCAAGAAGAATCAACACACAGTAAGCCATGTTGATCAAAGTCTGTGAACCAAAAAAAAAAGAAATTATAAAATGTACAATCAGCGTGAAAACAAATAATTTTTTACAAATCTTATAATTACATTCTTCAATATAATTTGGAAATATTGAAACTCTTTAATAAAAATTTATTAATTATAGAATGAATCTGAATCTTATCTCAAGTTTGTTTCTTTAATATTAATAATCAATTTTAATTTTTAAATTAATTTTTGCATAATATTTAATTGATGCATAATAAAAATTTCAGTTTGTTCACACATACCCCACACAACTAACTCTTTATATCTTATATTAAAAACAAAATAAATAAATGTTTTTTGACACATACATATTATATATATATATAGATGATAAATAATCGAAATAACTATATTGTTTAAAATCGTTGCCAACCAGCAAAAAGGCCATCTAATTTTAAGCTCAAATGTTTCTGATGTTTCAATGTCTGCCAAATATTTCAAAATACGCGAATGTAATTATTTGAGGTGCAAATTGTTAAAAGATTTTGATATGCAAGACTGAAATAAAATATAAAAAGAAAATTTTAATAAAATTAAGTAAATTATTTTTTATTTTTATTTGAAATGTTAAGCCAACTAAAAATATAATGTTAAACCATTTTTAATGTTAAACAAATTTTAAACATAATGTTTTAAATCTGTTTAATCTTTAATATTGTTATGTATTGAAAAATACTGTATTTGTATTAAATATATGAAAACTTCTTGGACTTCAAAAAACTTTGTCTTGCTCATGACATAAAATAATTTTTTTAAATTCATAAAATATTAATTTAGTTTTTTTAATTGTAAAATGTTGAAAATTAATGTTGTATAATGCGCTCACTTTTCACATAAATAATTTTACAATTTCAAATGATGAATATTATTAAACAATATTTTATTCAGAATAATTATTAATAAACAAGTACTTGTTTATTGAATTCGCTCTATTATTAAATGATATTATACGCAATCAAATGATAAATAGAAGGAATTCCACAATCTCAATATTATTACTTCTTCTATTATGTTGTATAACACAAAGGTGAATTAGCACATTTATACAACACGGACGCGGATGCGGAACTCGAGTTTGCGTTACAAATTTCTAAATATAGCATAACGCATAATTAAATTGAGAATATCTATTCCTTTCTCAAATACAATAGCTAGACATAATCGTGATAGTTGCATAATCTTGCACTCATAACAAGTACTTGTAATATGTAACACTTGCACTTATAACATGTAACAAGCTATACGTAATACTATTACATATACAGAAATTAGAAAGAAGAAAGTAATATATTCAAATAACTGCCATAATAACCGGAAGATTTTTTTTCAAATAGAAATCAATTGACGTACTCATAAATAAACTCATTGACTTCAGGTAGACTGCGAATGATCGAATCTTTACATTAAATCGCGTGAAACTGTTATTAGATTTCTTGTTACATAAACCTCCTCCTCATCATCATTAATCATCATTATATTGATAATATAGTTAACGTATCATTTTATTATTACAAGTAAAACGTTAATTTATAAAATTTCACAATAACTAGGAAGTAGCTGATAAATATGACTAATATATAAAATTGTATATATGTTTTATATATATAAATTCTTATTCATCAAAAATCATATAAAAATACGAAAGATTTAAATAAGAACATAAAACATTTATAAATGTGATAATTTAAATAAATAAATATGTATGTACCCTTTATATTTCAATGCATATGCTTTCGAATCGAATAATTTTGAATAAGCATACCCAGATACAGACAGGTTCATCCACCATGCATTCTAGAAGTTCTTTGAAATGCATGCCAAGACTTCTTGGATCCGTCGGATTAGTGTCATCTCCGGTTATGTGAGCATCGATGTGCGTGTGATTCGTTCTCCAAGCAGGATCCTTGATTATTTGAGAGGCATAGTATATAGAGCAGGATAATATGGCGAAACTGATGGTAGTGTATAACCGGAGATTTGGAACCGGTAATCGGTCCAAAAATTCCATCGGCATGATTGGAGGAATTTTGAAATATTTTTAATCGTCGAAGCACTTTCTAGATCTGCAATCAAATTTAAATCATATTAGATTACTAAACTGGAAAATTACTTTGTCTTATTTTTGAAGTATTAAAGATTTAAAAAATATCGAAAATTGCTTTTATTAGTATAACAAAATTATTAAAATAAAAATTATAGTATTAATATTTGCAATAAAATACTTGTACACATTTTCCATCTTAAAAAAATAGTATTTTCCTTAAAAGATATAAGAATAATATTAAATAATTCTCTAGTTTATCTAGTCTTATTCTAGAATATCTTCTAATATATTCTTCAATTTATTGTTTTATCATTATCATAGAAATTTTATTATATTTTAATAATGTACAACGTTTCTATATTTCTCGCGATTATTGATTTACAGAGATAATAAATCACGTTTCTTTTTCTTTCTCTACTAAAAAAAAAAATTTAGTTTCATTAGATATTGAATTTTTAGCATAAATGGTTGTCAAATTTAATTATAAAAATTGAAGAGATATACTAAGAAACTTTTTTTAGGATCTTTTTTAGAGATATTGCATATAAAAATACAGATATACTATAAATATGTTTGAATTATATAAGCGATTATGACTCAATGCTAGGAAAAACCTACTTTATAAAAAATAATTATACCGCGTGTATCTTATCGCTCTTTTTCTGTAAAAGAACTTGGTATCATTACTCAAATAGTAATGAGTCATTATACAATTTCCATTATTTTTTAAAATATTAATACAAAATCAAATATTCAAAGTTTATATTTTTTAGTATTATTTTATATTAAAATAATAGATGTATAAAATAAAAGCGATATAATTTTGATAGTGATACCATTATTGATTTTAAATGTATAATAATTATTTTTATAATAATAATTAAAGTTCTTTCTTGAGTAAAAAAAACTTAAAGAGTGGGATCTGATAATTATCATATTGTCAATTTATGACCAGCATTAAATACTAATAAGAAGATTGATTGGTCAATTGTGTTGATTTTTTTACCTGAGGTATCAATCGATATGTATGCTAAATATGTGTAAATGTAGATAAAAAAAATCACACTAAAGAAGTACAATAGCAATAATTACAGCCAAAGTGCAGTAATTAAATAAAAAATATACAAAACATATTAAAATTTATCGTATATAGAGTTGAACGTTTTTATATTTTTAGACCATTCTCATTGTCAGTAAAAGATAAAAAACACATATTCGTCAGAAAAAATAAAGTTAAATACCTATTATAATTTATAATTAAGCTTTTAGCAAAACTAATTTAATATAATAAATAATTTAGTTAAAATATGAATTTTCATAGAGATAAAATTTTAAACAATTTTAGGACAAATAAAATTGATTCATATCGGTTATTCAAATAAATATTTCACAAATAAATATTTTAGAATAAAACAAAGATTTCGATAAGTATTATAAATATATCAATATTCAGGTCAATAAGAGTCAATAAAAGCCAGAGACTCAATAAACTTGTTTTTACATTCTTCTTTCTTCTTTATTTAATTGAATATATTAAAATTAATGCATCTAATTTCCTTCTGCACCTAACTCTTTTATTAGTCTGTTCCCTACCTGAATAAATGTGTTATTAATCATAAATGTGTTATTAAACTCTCTTCTGCTATGCAATTAATAAAATGTATTCTTATTTTTTTAATCAATAGTATTATGCAAATTGTATATAAAAAGTCATATAATAACAACTTTATAACAATTTTTATACGCTTTTACAAGTTAGCCTTAACCTATTTGCATATACACTATCAACATTACATGTATTCTCAATAATTATATAAATTATATTAATTATCTTTTTTATATGTAAGTATCGTGTGCAAATAGATATATGCATCTTATTTAGATATTTTTTTAAGATAATTCCGATGAGATAAGCAGAATAAATGAATACACATAAGAGAGAAAACATCATAGCATGTCTTACCTATATCCATATGGATGATATTTATGTAATACAAATATTGCATTTAAAACATAATTTATAAACAAAAAAATAGTAGCATTTTTCAATAACTTTAATAAATAGTAAAAAATTGAAAAACATTTTTCTGATTACTTTTTACATTGAGATTCAAAATTTTTATCAAAATTTACATGTTACATTAATAGCAACATCGATATCAAAATTATATTGTTTTTACATATTTTAATATAAAAAATGTCTAAAAATATAAATTTTAAATGTGTGTTTAATATATAATTCTTATAATAGTATTAAAAAAATGAAAAAAATATTAATTACTTTTTGAGTAATAGTAACGAGTTTTTTTAAAAATCGATTTATAAAATATTACTTTCCAATCTTCTAATATTTCTATACAGTATATAACATTTTGATTTATTTGACCAACTTTGTGTGCTTTGTTCTCGACGATATTGATTGACATGTCGACAGATAAAAAGTGAGAAAGTCAGTAAAAGGGTTAACGTAATATATTGTTACCTGCAAAGTTGATGTGATAATTCGATCCAAGATAATATTTTATTGTAATAGTTTTATATTTTTTCTTGATTTTTTAATCAAATTTATTCCATGATAAATAATGGTGATTCAAAGATTTTAGCTATTTAATAAAATCATCACATCTTTTTAAGGGCAGATTGTCTGGTCAATTTAAATACAATTTTTTAAGTAAAAATGTTGAAATATCAATTATTTTCAAATTATAAACGGAAAAAGAGGTTTTTCGCAAATTAAACTTTGTGAAGTTAGAAGATAACAAAGTTAGAAGAGAGAGATTAACAAAAATTACATTTTTCAGTTAATTTCAAGTCGAGTTTATTTCAATAAAATTTTACATTGTAATTACATTTTCTACGTATACATACACAGGATGTTCTAAAATCAATAGAGGTCTTTTAAGCAGATTTTTTAATTGACCAATTTGAAAATAATTTTTTCTTAATGAAAATATTGAGAATGCAAAAAATGAATGATTTCTTTTTGGCCAATTAAAAAATCTGCTTAAAAGACCTCTATTGATTTTAGAACATCCTGTGTATGTATACGTAGAAAATGTAATTTTTGTTTCATGTAATATTTTTGACTGTCTTATCTTGACATCAAGTCTAAAAATATAATTAGAATTTTTTTATCATTCTAATTTATATGTAACTATGATGAAATATCTAATAGTACGAGCGGGATCCAATAGTTCACATTATCAATTGACCAAAGTACTAAAACTGATTAGTCAGTCGTATCGATTACTCTAACAACTATCGATCGACATATGTGGACGTATTGCATTGGAATGTGTCCTATCGGAATTCTCTATTATATTCCTATATAATAGCATATATAACAATGTATAATATTATTTTTTCCTAGCTAAAATTGCTATTTGTATATTGTATATTGTACACTGAAAAAAATTAAAAATATTTAAATATTTAAATTATTAAATCTAACAAAACGTATATTCGACTTAAATACTAATATATGTTCAATTAACAAAATAGTAATTTAGTTGGAAGGTTTAGTCCAGTTAACAAATTTTTTTCAGTGTACGTAAAATTAATATATGATTGTATTATATTATTGAAAAAAAAATGAAAATTAATGGTTCTTATTATATCATAGTTGACGATTACGTAATTGATGATTTATCGAATAGATAATATACACATATGTATGTATTGTATGTAAATTATATAGACAATATTTAGATTAGTCATTAAGATTTAATGATTCATGTAAATGTGCCGGCATATAAAATATGTCTAGTTCAGTTTAAAAAATTATTAAATATTCAAGATGTTTATTTATAGGAAATTAGCTTTTTGCTATTTTGAATTACGTGTTTTTCTTCATTTTATTATTTATATTAGAACATTTAAAAAAATGTTGTACCAGCTCTGTACTTTTCGAATTATACATTTTTTTTTATTGTGTTGCATTATAAAATGTTTGTGCTACAAATTTGAAGTCAACGATAAAATCATATTACAGAAAACTTAAATAAAATTTTAATAGCCCTGCATTTTTTTTTGCAAGCTTATTTTTTAGTCAAATTTGCACAAATTTGTAGCGTGTTGCATCATTGGAAAAATCTTGCTATATTTTTTTTCTAAAAAATCTAAAAAAAATCATAAATATAATGTATCAATATATATTAATAAATATATAAATAATTTTGTAATATTTATTTATATGATTTCTATAAATTACGTTACATTGTGTTAATTATTAGAAAAGACAAACTAACAAAAAAATACTAATTATAATGTAAAGAATAAAAAAATTTTTATAATATAAATTTTATATATCAAAAAACAAGACAAAAAAGAAGCCAAATTAAAACTTTCCACATAATCGGTTCTAGATTTAAACGCCATCTTTTATAAGATAAATAAAATATAAAATATAAAAATTTACAATACAAAAGTACGAAGCTGGCACAATTTTATCAATAAAAATACGAAATTCAAAAAAATGCGGAGTTAACTTCATTGTAGATATTTCTCAAGTAATTATAGTTATATTTTAAATAATGTAAACTAAAATTATAACGATGTAATGCAAAAAATACAATTTTATAAAATTATATTGTATTTTATCTGACAACTGTAGGTAAAGTAAAAAACTAAACCAAGAAATGAATATAAAACAATTAAGTTCAATATACAAGAGAAGAATTATTGAAAAAAATTTAGTTTTTAAAATTACAGCAATGTACTTAGAACATTAATTGCAAAATTAAATCTTATAACACTGATTACAAGAGCAATGTAAAACTCTAATTGTAAGATTATATCTTCTAATACTATTATAAGATTGCATTTATTGATTTGATACAGCATTGTAATTTTATCACATCGGTGCAATCTTACCCAATCTTATCGGTTTAATTGTAAAAGATGAAAGAAAAGAGAGACGTAAAATCTTAAAAGGGTAACGATATGAATAAATGGCTAGAAATATATATACATATATATAAATGAAATATAAATAGTTACATATCTACACACATACCACATAAATACGAGGAAAAATCACCCTTAGCTGGCGCCAAGACACATTTTCTCAAGCATGTCGCATAACCAACCTCATCAATGCCGTCGCGATGGTCGTTTTGTCGTCTATATAATTATCGAAGTAACACTTTTCTGTATACACATAACACACACTTATGAACGGTTGCGTAAAAAAAAAAAAAAAAAAAAAAAAAAAAAATCGAAAAAAATACCAGAGCTAGCAAGCCGTAGCAGTCGCGTACAGCGAGAATAAAAAGAAATTAGTCGCAGCGGAGGAGAGAAAAAAGAGCGAAAGGAATATACACGGAGCCAGGTATACAGTTATACATTTCCAGAGGAGAGAAGGAAAGGGCGAGACAAAAACTAGAGATAGAACAGAGAGAGAGCGAGAGAGACGGAATATGGCTTCCACGGTCTGTTCCTCCGGGCAGCGTCTTGCTCTGGATGACATATGCGCGAACCTGCCGGGAAAAGAAAAGAAAAAAAGAAAGAATAAACGACCTGTCAAAAGTGTCCGAGGCTCGCTTTATTGCGTCGCGGTTAGCGCTGACACGGCGGACGTCTACATCGTAAACATATCACGAAATCCCGATGGAAGACCTCCAAGCTTGACGCAATACAAATGCGCCTCATCGATTAGCGACACGACGACGACGACGACGACGTACGTACGAGCGGACGAACGAGTATATTGTATTCTCTCTCACATCCGCGCAAAAGACGCCCGATAGATCCGCCGCGAGATTGATTTATTAACACGTATCTCGCGTACCGCTAATATTGCTGACGCCAATTACAGTGAGAATTTGACAGGAGCAGCTCGACACCGCACGCCGTTAGAAATGAGACTGAACGCTCGCTCGGTAAATTACGGTATATATATGTATGTACAGTCCGCGGTAAAACGCCCCTCTTTCTCTCTCTCTCTCTCCTTTCTGTTTGCGTGACAATTCTTGAACATGCAAACAGGAAATATATTGTATATTACAATAAGAGACGTTTTCATTTTTATTTGTTTAATTTTTGGTATAAATGTGAACTAGTGAAGAGATGAGATATGTGTCAAATGTTTAAAAAATAAAAATATTTTTTGGAGTACAAAATATAAGTGAACACGTGCATTTCAAGAGAGTTTCTTATTTTTTTTTTTTTGTATAAATATGAACTAATAAAAAAAAGGGACAAAGATGTGTCGAATGTTTAATAAATAAATATTAACGCGATATGCTATTATGAAAATATAATAATACTATACTGACCGTTTTTCAATTCAAGTTTTTTTATTTACTAATCCCTCATTGATGCCTCTGTTCTTCTCGTACGATCGTGTTTGAAAGCAAACTTCGATTAATGTAATTATTAATCAACTTGTAGAATGCTTAGATAACAAAAATTTCCAACAATTATATAAAAAATATACAATATAGAATATAGAAATTATTGGTTTGATCGAAAGCACAGATGCTAAAGTAGATAGATATTCGAAATGTGATCGAGTCGACTTGCGTCATCGAATAGAAAGATATACATAGAGGGGATACTTCATTGACATTTCTAGCGCGCATGCGTCGACCGTCTGATTGATACGATGACATTTATCGCGTTATAATAATAAATTTGAAGATCATGACGGATAAAAATATTTTCTCCAAAATACAAAAAGACGTGAGCAATAAACAAATCAATTTTTTTTATTTGCCTATTGCTTATTACAATTAATCCGATACTCGACTGTGATTGGCTCACTGTACGTCATACGTCATCCATAATTTTGCCCAAATATGGCTGCCCTTGTTTCACATTTTTTCGCATTCGCCATATGAGTCTCATGTATGTGACATGTCAAGATGTAAATAACCGATTTTTCTGAATTAAAAATAATTAAATAGTTGAACAGAGTTCACTCTCGACGAGAATCTAACAAATAGTGCGCATCGGTGTAGGAAACAATAATGTCGCAGCAAAGTGCTATTGTGCAAACGACTAATACAGGTTCTGATATGACACCTACTATGCTTGGGTCCTTACAATCTGTAGGTCCTAATAGTCAGACTTCGTCAGGTTTACCTAATATACAAAGCAATGTCGGCAGCACCACGACAACAACTATACCACAAACACAATCCCAACAGACTCAGTACATTTCGCAGTCTCCAAAGCAAGTGTTACAACAATCGTCCACTTCAACTTCCTTCAACGATTTTCCACAAGTATGTAAAAATAAAAAATAATTTTACAATTATATTTTTATTATTTCACAATAAAGATCAGATTTCCAGCAAGATGATAAAGGATCGCATTAATTTTTTCAATAAAATAAAACTATAGGATGGTTTATTATTTACTTTACGCAATGTGACTTATCATCCTCTTTCTTCATCGACCTTATTTTTAATATATTACTTTTAATATAACGTTTGCTAATTAATACTATTTGATTTTAGTTTTTAACAAAAACAAGATTACAAGATTTGGTAAGAGAAGTGGATCCTACTGAACAGTTGGATGAAGAAGTGGAAGAAATGCTTTTACAATTAGCAGATGACTTTGTAGAGACAACGGTAAATGCAGCTTGTCTATTGGCTAAGCATCGTCATGCGAATACAGTGGAAGTTAAAGATGTACAGTTGCATTTAGGTGAGTTTTATACATTTCATATATTTATACATATATGTTTATGAAATACATATGTAAAACTAGACTTGCTAAATTTTATGCATTGGAGTTACAATAAATATAAGCACATATTAATGAAGTGCTTTATCAAAATTAGAGAAAAAAAGCTTTAGAGAATTGTCATTGAATTTAGTTTTTAAATGCTCATTTTAAAATTATTCAAATTGTCATATTATTTTTAAATCATTATTATAGCATTCTCCTTGAGTAAAAGCATATAAATATTTTATAAATCCAATGTATTTATTATACATTAGACTTTTATAATTTTAATGTCATAAAATCTATACTATTAAAGTTTTATTTATTGGAATAAAGTGTACAAAGAAATATAAACATTGATGCTATGACATTTCAATTTTTAGAAAGAAATTGGAACATGTGGATCCCTGGTTTTGGTACAGATGAAGTACGTCCATACAAACGAGCTACTGTCACTGAAGCGCATAAACAAAGATTAGCACTTATACGAAAGTCTATTAAAAAGTATTAAATCATTTGTAAGTTACAATTAGTTAGTCTTAACAATTAAACCATTGTATTTTATATTTTTTTAATTAATTTTTATTTCATAATTTGATGTATCTGAATATCTCATAATTTTCTTTTTTCATAAAAAAACGCCGATTATTATACAGTTTTACAATAAATAATAAAAATGAATTATGAAAATTGTCTTAAAAAATTGCAAATATGTTTTATTTGAAATATTTATGTAAAAATATAAGCTATATTTCTAAGCAATTATTTTAGATAAATTATTTATACAGACACGTACACACATAAACGTTATGCTATAAAATATTTCTTAGATTTTTAAATTTTAAAAATATACATGTAAAAAAACTGAGTATTTTAAAAAATGACAACTATTTTTTTACAAATATATATTATATGACCTAAAATTGAGGAATTTGTTGTTACTTATCCATATATTCATATATGAAGGAGATATTTGTTTTGTTTTAAATGCATGTAAGAACAAAAAAACTAAAGCAAGTTTTTTAAATGAAATATTTAAAAATGCAGAATATGTTATGAATTGTAGAAACAGTCTGATATAGATATCACACATGAAGGAGTAAGATAGAACAGCATATGTCATTCATATACGTAAATTTATAAAGATTATACAAATATAAAGAAAATGTTTCACAAGCAGATTCGTATGTAATAGGTATTAAAAATATATAATCATCTGTATCCGTATGCCTATTATATATCATATATATCTATATATATACGTCATAATTCAAATAGCGCTGGCAATGTTTCCGGCCGTATTTTTAATCGTGGTTAATTATTACACTAAGTTTATCGTCGTTAACGTACTCGATCAAAATGTTTCGTTTTATAGCAAGCTTTAACAAAAAATCACATTTAGAAACAATTTTTTCCAATTTTTAAATTATATAAATACCGTATAAATATCGAAAACAATTAAGGAATACTCGAACATTTTACAAACAAAGCTACTGATTGCAGCGTAGATAATCAATCCACATCAGAATAATCCTATTTCTTTCTTAAGATTCACTTGTTTCCAGTTTGGAAGCTGTTGAAATTCTTCCTTGCTCATCCCCAATAGCTCCTAAATCACGAAATATATTTAGTATTTTTTAAAGAATATTGTTAATATTAAATATGATTTAATATTAACATTATCATTTTTTATATTACTAATATACAATATGTTTTACCCTAAATAACAACACTAAATATACACAAAAGTGTATATTTATCAAATATTTATACAACATCTAATGATGCTGTGTTCAGATGTTTGCAATATTAAATCAATATTGATTAAAACATTTTTAATGTTATGAACTTTATATTTTAGTTTATTCATAAATAATTAAATATGACACTAACTTGAAAATGTTGTTGAGATAAATATAATTCTAAGTGTGTAGGATCGACTCCATCAGGTAGAGGTCTTTGCAATAATTGAGCAGGAGGATAGATGCTTTGCGTTAAACGAGCTAATTCATCTTCCGCAGTTAATACTTCTCCTGGATTCCGACCATCCTGTCATATATTTAATAAATACACATTAGATGTTAAATGTATGAAATTTAAATTTCATACATTTAAAATATGAATTATACATGCATACAGATAGACAAATAAGATATTATAATAAGATCAAAAACAGCTGGTAAATAATTGTCCCTATTTAATATGCTTTAAAAATATAAATAAAAAAATTATATCTATTATTTTCAAGTTAAATTCTTGTTTCTAGTAGAATGTAAACAGAATTCGAATAGAAAAAAAGATGATATACATATATATATATATATATTTTATAAAACATACCTCTATATTTAACTCAGCGACATCATCCCGATAAATCCATTCAGGAAAGAGATTTATAAATTGCAAAGGTTCTAAACCAGCCCATACTAAGTATATTGGAAGATTCGTTGTTTGTGTGTTTCGAGTCTTTTGCCAATATCGTATCGCTATCGTCATCGCTGCTCTTCTTTCAGCCTGCCAACGGACAGTTTTACTTCCAGATTGATCTTCTGTTCCATTATCAGGCCACCATCCTTGCCAAATCCAAATCACGTTTTTATCGTCCAATAAAAATAAAGCTGAAAGTTGCAACTTTTTATTTAAAAAGGCTAAAATATGGATTATAATTATTTTATAAATAAAAATAAAAATGTCACGAATAAAAACTGCAATAATTAACTCAAAATTATTTACATTATTTTAATAAATATAATAAATATAAAAAGAAACTTTTTATATTTAGTTCATAAGTTTATAACAAAGAAAAATAGAAATAAAAGTGAGTTGATAAATAAGAAAAGTCAGTTTCGAAAAAGTGCATTAGAAGCTTTTATAGCTCATTTTACAAAATATTGAATTACAATCTCTATGTTCAGCTACAAATTAGTATTTGAAATGCATTTTTAAATAGATCATCATACCTGGTTGATTCGCTTGATATAATTCATCTTGTAAAAAAGGAAATGGTGTCGTGAGGTCCGATGTACGATGTGGGCATAATATTTCCGTTGCGCGGAAAGTTTTAGAGATACTCGATAGATGATAAAGCTTTGGAGTATGATCTTGTATTTCAGATGTTTCTAACGACCAATACAACTTTTTATTCATACCACCTAATGCTGAGAAATTTAAAATGTAGCATTAGATCTCGTAAATAAACGACATTATTCTACATAAATGTAGGACCTTTTCTAAGTATCTCTATTTTAGGTATTTATTAATAAACTAATAATAAGTATCTATCAATATCTATCAACTAGTAAAAAGTATAATATTCGCATTTAATGAAATTTAATTATAAATATGAATCATAATAAAATCTACTACTTATTATGGCTCATTTTTTGTTATGGCAAAACATTAAAATCTGCAATAAATCTTAAGGCCGGAGCACAGACTTTTGGATAACGCATAAGCATAAGAAATTCAATCAATCGAATGCAAAAGTCTGTGCTCTCGCCTTTACATTTTCAGTCTTAGTTGTTAAGTTTAAATGTTCAATAAAAAAATTTTACTTACCATTACTAAATTCTTCGGGTTCCAAACCTTCTTGAATTTCACATATTTCTATGTTCTTGTTCGATAACCCGGCTTCTTCAGGTCGATTTTCTTTTAATTTGTTTGCCGCTTTTATCGCATTCTATAAAGAGAAAAAGTCAGAATAAAAAAAAGCTAGGATGCTATTCTCCACACAACTACCTATAGTTATTCGGTAAATGTCATTGCACATGTTTTCGATATATCAAAAAACATGTGCCACGACTGTGATTCTGCAACTTTTGTCGACACATAACGAAAACAACGTCGTTAAAAGTTATAGAATTGTAGTACTGTGTGGTCTAATAAAGAAAAAGAAACAGAAACGAAGTAATAGAAAAAAACGAAGAAGCAAAACAAGATAAAGAAAGCAAACAGAGAAGAAAAAGAAAAATAAAAAACAAAAAATATTGTAGCACTTTTTAACTTTTACTATTTACATTTGTTATATATAAATTACGAGTTTAATAGTATACAAAATACAAGATTTATCGTATATATTAAACTATATACCCATGTGTGCGCGAACATTAAAATTAACATTGTGTATGTGTTAATATAATTATCTTTATGGAAATTAATGGAAAATATATACCTCTCTAACATGGCGTAATGAGTTGTTTCCATGCCAGACGTATATTTTTGCATTTTCGGTGTCTAGCAATATAAAGGAACCTCTACTTCTTAATTGTCGAGTGCTACAAGAGATTTCGATCAAAAATGTCTCAGAATCTAAAGTACCTCGACAAATGTACAATCTCCTTTGTTTCTCATGTTTTTTCTCAGATTTCTTGCCACTGTGTATCACCATCTTTCCAGAGAACAAATTTAAAAATGCAGCTGGCTCATGCCCTTGGACAACACGAATCTGTAAACATATTATCACAATTATATTATGATCATCTTGCAAGAAAGATTCGCAATTAAAAAACATCAAATTTTTGAAAATAAGAATTCAAAACTTATAGTTGAGCTTATAAAATTTCATTTTAATATAAAGTTAATTTCAGTATAAATTTGACCAAATCATCAAAACAAATTATGTATATAGGAGTTATATATATAATTTAAATTACACTGATTATTTATAAACTTTTCTGAAAAGTGCTTTTGGACTATAAAATGTTTACTATTACAAACATTAAAGTTATGATGAGATTTTCTCTTCAAATTGGCCATAGTTTACAGAAAATAAATTTATAATTACAGTATATCGACAGAATTCTCCATAGAAGAACCTCTCTTGTCGACTCAAATAAATAAAATAATTCTAATAGCATTCTAATACATTTAATAATTTTTTAAATTCTTATTATAAATTCTTATTGTAATTATTTTTTATTATTATTACCTGAGGGCCTCGATCATTGTCTAATTCAACTGTTAGTAATGCTGCAGCACCTCGTTCGTTTAAGGATGCATTTCTGCCTTGCCAAATAAAAGATACAGATCTATCGCGACCCTTTGCTAAATGTTTAGATGGCAGACCAGTAAGTTCTCTACCTATAAACATAAAAAACAAATATAAAACAATTGTACAAAGAAAATTATCATTAAACATTAAATTCAATATTAAATCAATAATTAAATTCATAATTACAGAGTTTATATAAACTATTTTAAACTAATTTTTGTAGGGAAAAATGGAAATTGTATTAGAAAGTTAAAGTCTAACAATAAAAGTAAAGATCTTTAATTTCTATTTTAGAAATAGAAATTTAAAACGTGGTTTTTCTGGAAATAAGTCTTTTGATTCCATAAAATTATGCAATGAAGCTTACCAGTAATCGTAACAGAATATATCCATTGAATGATATAACTATCACCAGAATAGAATTGTCCAATGGATGATTTATCTAAAAGTGTATGTGAGAATTCATCAATATGCCATACCATCACGCTCGTTGTAGCAACGATATAATCTTTCTTTAACTGAAATAAAAGCAAATAAAATTATTAGTTAGATTTATAAAAGTTAGATATTGATTATAAAACAATTTTTTTTCTCGACAGAAATGTCAAAATTAAAAAATCAATATATAGTAGTTATACCTTTATTAATAATATAATTAAATTATATTATTCAAAATTGATATATTTTGTTTTCAATATATAAAAAATTAAAATATTTAAATATAATATAAATATATAAATAAAAATATATAAAAAATATTAAAAATATATAAATCAATATATAAGTAAAGAAAAAGATATTTCTTATATTATGCTAATGAAATGACAAATTACCTCGTTATCATAGCAACCAGTGCCTCTACCTAAATGACATCCTTCCAAGATAAAATCAACGGGAGTGTTGTTCGACCACATATCGTCATTATCATCCACGTGCATAGTAACAACACCATCGATCGTCGTTCTGTCCTTTCGACCTCGTGCCTTTGTCACACTGCTGACATTAGGCCAATCAAGAAACTTTTCCCGGAAGAGTATCGTCTCGACGTGCTGCGTCAGTTTAGCGAGTAGACACCAGTCGGGTCTGCTCTTGGCCGACTTTTTCTCTGACGAGCTCGCACTTTTCCGATTACCGATTATACGGGTTGCGTTAATCGGACAAGCGGTACACTCGCTGTAATCGTATCCGTCGTTCCACATCTCCGTAGCGAGTCGCGTGGCGAGCTTCTTCTTGTCTGTCGTGACTCCTTTGCCACTCCAAATGTACATCTCGGTGCCGAAGTCAAATACCAGAATCTAAGGATGTAAGAGGCATCAAAAATACATACAACATAACTTGTATGTCTCCTACAAAGAAGTTGCTATATTTTACTTTGTGAGATTTAAAATACTTTGTCTTTTATGTGAATTATGAGTCATCTAAATTGTAATTATATAATATATAATTATACAATTAATTAAAATAATTATAAAAATAATTATATACAATAATTACAATATATATATATATATATACATATACACATCTTAGAATGAAAAAATTACCTTGTTCTTATTGAGCATATCAATCTTGGGTAACGTACCCCAGAATTTTTCATGCGGCACTAACTGTTCATTCTTCAATTCATACACCATATTTGTATCAATAATAGCAGATTCATAAAGCTCATCTTCATCAGGGTTGCCTGCCTCGACAACTGTGATAATGATATAATTAATAAGCATTTAAAAAATATATATAATGTGTTGTTATAAAGACAGAATGCAAGATCATACCATTGAATTTTTCACCATTGAGCACACCAAGATAATTCCAAAATCGTTGGACTTGATCCCTTGTGCAGTTCAATTTGTCTTCGTTTATAGAAATAACTTTAGTCGCACGACAACCTAGATCTTTTCGTTGTTGAATACTCAATGTAATCTCAGCAGCACGGGTTTTTTCAATGACATTGCTGTATTTCCCTATGTAGTTGAAAATCTGCAATTCATCAATTTTATTACAATTAGTAAGAAAGAAAGAAAAGTAAAAAATTTGATTTAGATGTTTTATACCACACACAATTTAGATCTACTACGTATATTATAAACTTTACACACATATATATATATACTCAACATATGTGTCATGAATTATTATTCGACATTTTAGTAATTGATATTTTTATTGTTACTTTTTTTGTTAAGAAATAAGAATCAACTAGTATTGTATCTTATGTTCTACTATTTTACTATATATATATATATATATATATATTATTATTACCTCCGACTTCGTTACTAATATAAAATTATCACCGCTATTGATACTTTCAGCGACAGGCTCGACCAGCCTAGCTTGAACATGTCGTCTTCCTTTAACTAAAATCAGCATTAAATCTTTATACGGTTGCAGTTTATTTGTGACTACGCTTGTTTCCGATACATTTTTCAGAGTCACTGAGCTAAAATCTTCGGTAGAAGCTAAACCAGCGAGAGCCTCAATGGAGAAAGATGAATTTGTGGCTGAAACATTGATGGAAAAAACTTGAGTCTTAATCGAAACATTTTAGAATATATAAAAGCTTGTATTATAAAGTGACAAAGAAATCCAGATATGCTTACATTTCTCTACGTTCAAGTTCCTCATTGTTCTCGCAATGTCTGTGCGAATTTCGGTATATTCCGTTCTTAAATCGGTCCGTGCAGCGAGAACTTTAAGAGGATTTCTCGAGGCGGCTCGTCGACGTTGCATTTGTATGTTCCGTTTTTGCACTGATCTATAAGAGAAAGATTTAGATTATATTTACATGTATATTAACATTTCAAAATTAGGTTTTTTCTATTTGTTTCTAGTAATAGTGAAAATAAAAAATTACAGTTTGGAGTGTGGTGTAATTGTATCGAAGTCGGTTTCATCCAAATTAAGATACTCGTTCTCGCACTTTTCCAATGATATGCCACTAAAGAAAGAGGTAAACGTTTCGTCATCCGTTTTAAGGACTGAGACAGTTGGCACCAAGATACACTCTGTTTTACATTCTTCACCTAATAATAATAAATTATTAATATATAATATATAATAATTAAAATTAGTTAATAAAATAATTATTAATATATATGTGTACAATAAACATTAATTTCATTAAATAAGAATATTTAAACGAGCTGCTCCAGATTGGGACAGTGCAAATTATAAGCAAGATAAAGAATACAATATTTTTAATTGCGATTTAAAACAAATTTTTATAGAAATTATGTACCACTATCGTCGCTGGCAGGTTCAGAGAAACTCGTAGGCATAGTAGAAGACAACAAATCTTTGCAGGGACTTGAAGGAGTCGATATTGCACCTGAAAAGATATAATTTTTAATAATTGTTCTTATTTAGTACAAATCAGAATTAAATTATCTACTATTTATTAAATCTCTTTCTCTATTTTCACAAATGTAAGATGTTCTTTAAATCATTTTTAAAGTTCTCTCTAAATGCGAGAAGTCTCATATTTACCTTTTTTCGTTTTGAATCGCTGCGGACGTGGTATCTTTTTCTTCTGATTTAAAATATTCGTCGTCGTGGATTCCGTGAGAAAGGACGAATTGTCATCCTTCGATCGGACCACCTTCATTTTACCAGCGACAGTGAAATTGATCGCGTCTGGTGTCACGATTCTGCTCTTCCAGCTTTCCATGGAGGACTCCAACTTTTCCATGCACTCGGCCAAGACACCCGACTTGATCGCCGCGTTCTCCTCTGAACTCGATGGTAAATTGTCTTCGTTAATCTTGCCATCACCTACACGTTGCCTCCAACTTGTGTTGCCACAATGACGTAATGCGGCCAGTCGATCAGCGATACTCACGCTCGGCTTTTCGCTCGTCTCTATTGATGTTATCACTTGGGTCGCACTGCGACATGGTTGATTGGCATTCTTGGAAGAATTAGAACATCGTGTGACATTAGTCTGCTTTTCATCTGCCTTATGTTCGTTGGAAGACAACGACGCGTCGTTAAGATCACCATCGTCTTTCTGCTCTGCTAACGTTCCTTCCAGTTTCTCTTTCTCATCATCATCATCATCATTGTCATCGTCTTTGTCATCGTAAACATCCGACGTTTTATTCGATTCGTCCATCGATAAATTGTTGTGTCTTTTATCATTGCATCTCTTTATTATCTTGCTAGATACAGTATCAATTTGATAATTATTTGTGTCATTCGACAGGTTTCTCTCGTTTCGAAGTATCGCAGTTTTATGAGAAGGCACTGTAGCTCTGCTTTCGACGTTATCGCTTTTCTTAACAACAGTAGTTCGCGCATCGTCGCAGAGACATTGCAAACTGTGTTTCGTTATATCGGAATTATCTAATCTTTCGCAGAATTTAGCAGTTTCATCGCTTTGAGTTTGGCTCTCGATGTCACTTGAGCTTCCCTCGCTTCTCGATGTTGCTGCGTCATTCGTGGCCCTCGAGTTAAGATTAGTTTTTAGAATAGAACGAAGATACACTTCGGAGTTCGGCAAGATAGCTGGTTGTTCCGATTCCTCAGATTCCCTTTTGAGCACAGGTCTTATCAATTTAACAGACTTATCGATAGTCTGCAGTTCTGGAGTTTTAATGCACTGATTTTTCGTATGACCGATGGATGACTTTAGAATACCTTTTGGTAAATCGTGCTGTGACGACGTGCTTACAATCGACGATATATGAAGTGGTCTCTCATATTCTTTTGAATGTTCTAGAAAAAAACAAATATTGCTTATTTACTATTGCATGTAATTTTTATATTTTATATATTGTATACAAATATTATTTTATTTAATACTTGCCTCCAATCAAGGTTTGAGTTTGATAATCTACGTTCAATGGGGATATCCGAGATGCCACTTCGACCTCCTCGGAAGTTACAGGCTGTGTTTTGTAACGCGCGGCCAATCGTTTCTTCTGAGTAAATCTTTCCTGGTGCGGGGCAGCATCCGTGGCTGCGATTTTTTGATTGAAGAATCGCACGCGTTCGGCTAAGCTGAGTTTCGATGGCTCAGGCTCGTCAACAAGGCCCGAAACACCCAACGCGGTGTTGCGTTGATTCTGCAAAACTGCCTCGCGCACTTCCTGGGAAGTTACAGGTTGCGTGTTGAATCTTTCGCCCCCTTGTATCTTGCGCTCGCGATAACGTTGAACACCACGCGACGATTTCTGTAGAGTTTTACGCTGAGATTCATTTTCCGCAGCCGTAGAAGAGCCGACCTTTTCCTGCAGAGTCTTGAAGTGTTGTGTCATTTTTGACACGCTGCTACAATGAACAGTGGCATAATTCTCCTGGGTATCCCGCCGTCCCTCCTTGTCCCTCGCAATCTCTTTCTTGTCAACCGTGCGAGTAAGAATCTCTATCGTATCGCGACTATCTATGTTGGCATCATCGAGCTTCAGGAAATATACAGACGAGTCTGTCTTAGTCTTCTCCTCCATATTCATATGAGTTTGTTTGCTTTGACAGGATTTTCCACACGACGGCTTACCATCTTCAATTGTAAAACTAAAAAAAAAAAAAAAAGAATATATATGTATACAAAAATGCATAACTATTAATAATTTATAATATACGATATTCATTTTATTTTTATAAATGTATCACAGAATAACATCATGAGTGTGTCATTTATTATTCAATTATTAAACTTTTTTATTTTATTATTAAAGCTGGCATAGGCTTAAAGCATCAGTAAATGCACACATTACAGCAAATTGTAAAAAATTAATCAGTTTTGAAACTTAATGTTGCATAGCACAAGAAAAATTTTTTTCATGTAAGAATTTTTTTCTTTTAGTTTGATACTATACAGAAACAAATTGTAAGAGATCTCGTTTTTATATTTAGTGATTGAATATCAGTTTTTTAAATAAATTTAGATAAGTTACTTTTATTTAGCTCAGAAAGTTCTTTTTACATTTTTAATTCAATAAAAAAATTATATTATGTACTTTTAATTAAAATTGTAATTAAAAATTAAAACTAAAAATTTAGCTCTAATTAACTGGAACAAATGCTTTCCTACACAAAAGTTGGATAAATATCAAATTGTTTTTTTACAATCTCTCTTTCTCTCTTCTCTCTTTCTTTCTTATTAATAATATAACTTATTCTGCAAAACAAATAGAACTTAAATATTAATTCATACTAATAATAACGCAACCTTATATCAAGATAATTTAAATCTTTGAAAGTTCTTAAGAAAATTTTTTTCATGATACAGAATAAGAAAATATTTGCATGTTATTGATACATGAAAAAAAATAAAAAGATTCAATAAATTGTGTGTCAAAAAGTATTTGTTATATATAGATTTCGGATTATATGCAAATTGCATATTTGTTACTTTTTGCATATTGTATGAGCATTAATAATGCGGATACATTATAATGTTTTAAACTAATTAATGTTCTCATAGAATATGCAAAAAATAACAAATATGCAATTTGCATATAATTTGAAGTTATATACATATAATACCCTAATATTTAGATGAGTTAAATGTTATTAACACACAATATTGTACAAAAATTACAATTCTTTTTCACATTATGATATAATTTAAACCTTTTCAGACATATTCATTTAGACGTACCTATTTTCTGCATAAGAGTTGTCACATACATTGGGCAGATCGGTTGTCAAACTGCGACTTGCAATTGTCGGTGTATACAACACATCGATTGGTGAACTTGACTCGAGAGACCTTCGTTTGGCTAAAGCCCGGATTGACTCGACACAGTCGTTGTCATTCATGGATCGCGCGTGACCTACGGATTGCGCTCTCTTCCGCAGAAATGAATTGGTATCGTCGTGATAACGACTCGACTGTTTCAGTATAGGTCGTACGCTCTCGATCTCGGTTGCCCGATTCTTCAGTGCAGACAACTTCCTCGGCGAAGTCGACTCCGTCTCGTAACCGCCCTCTTCGTATGAATTTTTCCGCGAAGATTTCAAGATCGTTTTCTTCGGTCTGTCATGCTCGTGCTCATCCGATTCTGTACTCGATTTCTTCTTCAGGATCGGCCGTGGCTCGAGAGACGAAACGTCACCTCCGGTCAATTCCTCCTTGCCGTATTTTTTTTTCAATATCGGTCTCACTTCGGATCCCTCAAGACTATCGGAAACTAAGTTCGCGGTCATATTAGCACTTGTGCTTCCAGTTGCATTCGTGTTTGCAACGTCCGACACGATGGTCACATGGTGACTGACACTATTAGCACGCACACTGTTTGCGAGTTTTCGTTTTAGAATACTCTGCGGTTCCGGAGATCCTAATGGCAATTGATGAACCTCTCTGTCATCCTCTCTAGACGATTTGCGCTTCAATATGGAAGCGGGTTGTTGATCGGGACTTTGATCCCTCTTAATGATCTCGTCCAACGATGATCGCCTTTGATTCTTCAAGATTGGTCGAAATTCCGAATAGATGTTGTCGGCAAAAAAAACATCGGGAGAACAGCTACGACGACGTAATATCTCACTTTCATCCAGACTGCTTCGTTTCTTCAGGATACCGTGCCTCTTATGTGAAGCAGATTCCACGATAGACGACGAGAAAGTTACTGGTGACGGTACGTGAGAGGAATTACTGCACGATGATGTTTGACGTTCGCTTCCTTCGCCATCGATCGTTTTATGTTTCAGGATCGAAACCGGAGCGTGCCTAGATGCGGTGTATTTTTTTGGCGACATTGACACTTTTTCGTTTGTGCGATTCGTGCAATTTGTACCTGCAGATGCAAGTCTTTCCACACGTTCCATGGTAGCTCGCGTTAGCGCCGTTAACACATCCACTTTACGTGAAACCTCCGAATCGTCACTACTAAAAAACGAAAGTCAATTTTAATTAATTAATTACGCTTTCTTCCTAATATTATTTTTGCTAATGAGATACTAATGCAATAAGATAGCAATACTAATGAAAAAAGAAAGCAATATGTATATACATATATTTATATTTATATATACAGGATATCCCAATTTCCATATTATTATTCAAAATGATTAATGTGTTATTAAAAAAATGTTGTCCAATTAAACTTTAATACTTTGTTTAAAAAAATTAATTTATCGATTTATATTAGATCAAAAAACATGCTCTAATTAAAAAACAAAGTTACTTTTAAATTGAAGATTAGCTAAACTTAGAGAATAAAAATATATAATATCATCACAATTATCCTGATAAAATTTATCTCAAATGTTATCTTTTTCAAAATATATAATATTGTTTAAAATATAATGTTCTGTACGTATATATACATATAAAAAAAATTTAATAAACTTTTAAAGTCTTTTCCACACATATATCTATTATTGTATATATACCTAGGCTGCTGTATAGTAGAACGCTTTGTGTTGGTAGTAGATGCAATAGAAGATGATGAGGAAGTTTTGGAGAGATTCTTCATGTTACTACATTGGGCTTCAGTTACCTTTAAATCAATGTATCTTCTGCGTGGACTAGCAATTGTCATTTGACGATTACTACAAGAGTCAACAGAACTTGCTATTTCTGACACTTGACTCTGTTTGTTAGATTGCCTTCTGAAGCGTCTCTCATTATAATCGGCTGAAAATTACATTGAGTCATTAAAAAAGTTATGCCTAATGCAGATATTTTATAAACATTTTAATTAATATCTCCAAATTAAAAGAGTATATCTAGTGCAGTTGTTGTATATGTAATTTTTATAATTTAAAAATATACACACAAATATAAAACATTTTTTATTACCTATATGTATAAAAACTATTTTTGTTGCAATAATTTTGGTTTTGTTATATTTGTGATCTTTTGAAATTTCTGTTACTTTCAAAAAAATTTTTCTACTATGAGTTTTTCTACACTATTATGAAAGAATATATTATCTTTAATATTTCAAGAAAATGTCAAGAAAAAAATCTACTGTTGGAAAACAATGGATTAATAAATTTCTTACCATCACTTGCATGATTAATAGAAACTACTTCTATGGGACGTGACCTATTTAAGTAAGATTTGCGTTTGTAGCTTTTATCTCTTTCCTTGACAGGATTCACGGTGACACTATTATCTAAAGATGTGGAATTTTTCTACACACAGACATAAACATTTATATATATATAAATGTAATATATATAAAATAATAATTTCACATACTTACTTGCTTAGCTGATGAATTGTGTTTCTGAGAACCAGGAGTTTCTGATCCACATTTTTTAGATAATGTTACATCTATTTCTGGAAATACACATAATTTGTTGGCATATTTTTCAGTAAATTAATCATATTTATGCATAACATTTTATTAACATATTTATAATATAATACTTATTCACTAATTCAGTGAAAGTCAGATTCAATTAGATAATATTAATCTTTTTTTAAGAATTGTATGTTTTTGTTAGAATGAAAAAACTAGGTATCTATTTTAGGTATTAATAATATCTATTAATATTGTATATTAATTAATAAGCAATATAATATTTATTTAATTAAATTAAATTTAATTTAATTAAATAAATGTCATAATAAAATTTACTACTATTTCTTAGAGTTATTTATATATATTTAGAAAAATTGAAGATTTTAAATAAGTTCAAAATATGAGATACAATATGAATAAAAAATTATATATATATATATATATATATAATATTTAAGTATAATTAATAATGATTAAAACATAGGCTTGAAACATTCATTTACCATTAGGTAACATTTTAGAAGCAGCTCGTAATCTAGAAGTTCTGGTCTCGCGAATCTGAGCAGTTTTACAAATTGAACAATTTTTAGTACTCTCCTTAGGCTCTATCTTAGATATTATTTTATTATTCTTCTCTGTTGTAAGGCTACATTGCTTCTTTTCTACTGTAATAAAAATAAATTATATATTTCAATTAGCATTTCAAAACAACAGCAAATATACAGAAGCAGGATATTTAAAGCATTAAATTTTAAACTATTATCAATTTCTTAATCCATATAATTTGAAAAAACTATAAATAAAAGTTATAATACATTACAAAATGTTTATCTTTTATGTATATAATCATATGACAGATGTCTAAATTTTTAGTACTTACTAATGTTTGATGAACAAGTTGTTACATCTTTTTTAATCAATGATTCAATACTTTTTTGACCATAATGCTGTATTTCACTATTTTGCGAACAAGTATTTTGGTTTACCAAGTGTGCTGTAGCACCATCCGTTTTACTTGACAAATTCTCCTCACTAGCTGCCATCAAAACTGTGATTCCAGTAGCTACCATTACTGAAAGAGTATAATGTATTTTAATCATTTATTTCATATTATTTTCACACATTTTAACATTACATTACAACGTAAGATTATATTTTTCAAGTGATCCAAATTTAATCTTTACAACCTTTTAGAAATATTGAGATTTTCTTGTAATTAGCATAAATTTTAAAACAGATACAGTACATTGCAATTAAACATATGCATCAACATATGTAAATTCGAAGAGGATAAAAAAAAGCATAAAACTGTTGTAGAAAAATACAATGTTAATTAGAGACACATTATTGACTTATAAATTTTTACTCACTTAATATGAATTAATATGAGTTTCCTTGCGCTACGGCCATAATTTTACTTTCGAAAACTTTCGAAAGAAATTGTTGGGCAATTGAGAACGTAGCACAGAGATGACGCATATTATGACTAAGTTATCACAGTTACTTAATAAGTAGTATGTATAAAATGATATAACTCGCGAGACAATCGTTTAATCGAGATCAATCGTTCAATCTGTATAATAAGCTCACACGAAACATTTATATCATTTGCATTAAAAATGAAAAATTAATGCTCGAAGAAAAAATCAACATCATTACGAAAACAGTGTCACTCCACACCGAACCGATCATGTCAATGGGCGCGTTTCGCGTGGTTTAGCTGAGAAAACTGTTGAGTTGTCAGTTTTGTAGTATTTAAGTTTAGGTTTGGATTGCACTTTCTACACTCGGGGTGTTTTCCGATTCAAGCATGCTGCGCATGAGAAGCGATAACAAATTTCTCACTTCCATGTCTTCATGTGCATCGCGTGAAAGTTGAAAACGGAGTCCGCCATAGAGTTTATATGTATACCTAGAGATACCTTCTGTATATTTTTATTCTTTATTTTTTTCCGGTGTTCGCCGACAGAGAAAATATTTTCATTCTTGTTATTGTAAAAAAATATTGTTATTATTATTGTTGTTAGCGTATCTTGCCTAATGTGACCAGTAAATAAAAAATAACAAATAAAAAATTATTATTTGAACAGTAATAATAACTGTCAGAATAAAAATTCTTCTATTTTTCTATTACATGTATACAAAAATAAAATACGACACAATTAACTTAATAAAACTAAGATCTGTTAATAATTAAATTTAATCAAAGGATATAAAATTTGCAAATGATAATTATATTTCATTTTTATTTATATATATTTTTAAATTGTTTGAAACGCGCGCGCGCGCACGCGTCTTAAAATTAATTTGAATTCGGTGCATCGTACATCAATGTGAAGTTGCCGGTAGTTGACATATCGATATGAAACATTGCGGAGCATGATGAGCAGATCGAGTCTGGCTCGCGAAGCGTTTATGTGAGAGCCGTGAGAGGTAAGCCAAAATTTATATTTTATTTCAATAAAAACAACTTTTCGACTGCGTAGTATATAAATACGGCGTCGAGTGACAATAAATGTCATTAATTGTTTACGCGCGGATTCATTGTTGTCATTTATACGACACTCGAACAGGTATAGTCAATAAACGACACACTTTGTATGTATTGTCATTATCAAGTATGCCGTGCATCAACAATTTGGAGTCGTATATTAATTTTCGAGACGTGAAGATCGAATCTCACAATCATATATATGGTGTACAAGTAATAGTATATATATACATATATAGTGAGTGTTAATTATTTAATTTAGGGCCAATTTCACACCGACGTCGATTAATTATTAACTTATTTAACCTCCAATTAACTTATTTAACCTCTAATTAAATTATATTTTTGTCTCTTTTCAGATTCGTTCTTAAAAAGAGACAGAGATTACTTTAATCGGAAGTTAAAGTTAATCGACATTGTGATGAAATTAGCTCTTAAATATATAATTAAATGCATATATTGCAGCGATTGCTGTGAAGAAAATAGTCGCGTTCAAAAGAACAATTGTGAAGTTGTCGTCTTGTCGACACTTTACGTTGATTTGTTGGTTCTAGAAGTAAGAACCAATCACGTTCGAGTGCAACTGAGCGGATCGTTCGGCTTTAATGTCTACAGATGTCGCGAGTATCAGGTTTCGCGCGCTTTTCCTGCGTTATTCTCCCGCCAAATCAAGTACGTCTCGCCAGCCATAAAGTCGGACATATCGTGCTAATTGTCGCGCGCTCATTAACTATATTGTAAGTGTCGTGATTAGTACGGGCGCACATAATCGTATTTAATTGATTTTGCGAGTGCGCGCTTAATATTGTAATACATTTTGTTTTCGATAGATGAATATACTACAAAGAAATATAATAATTACAGTGAAATAAGAGAGGAGAAAGTTCGGAGCAGCATTAACTGACGGTGGAGCTCTAACATGAGGTAAATAATTTATTATTTATTTATTATTATTTCGATTATTATTTAATTATTACAACAAATTTAATAAAAAAAAAATTTAATACGCGAGATAATTCAGTTTGCTAATTTGAACAAAATATTTTTACATAAAAATCTATAAAGATTTTAATTTAAAAAGTAATTTTTCCAAAATTTATAAAATTATTTAATTATACATATATCTATTTTATTATCATTGAACGGATTGAATATACCATTCTATTCAATTAAAATTTTATATTCCATATGTGTACAATAATAATTTTCTTGAAATATTAAATTATTTGGAGAGCTATGCTACAATTTAAGTTTAATTTATATGTTACAGGTTATAATAACGTATATATAGTTGATAAAATCGACAAAATGAAAAGAAAGGAGGAAATAAAGGACATCGCAAAGATATCCTAGAGTGAGTATTTATTACTTATTCATTATAGTTGCACTAAATTAAAATTTACCTCTTAATTATATTATAAATTAAACTGTATAAAATTATTTAATTGTACTTTTTATTATTGGTATGGAAAAAATAAAATATAATACAATAATTATTGTTTAAAAAATTAGTTAACTTGGGCAATAACAATAATTTTTATTGTATTTACATATTACAGATCAACGTAGCTGACAATATGGACAAATTGAGAGAGGAAGAAGGAGGTCTAGGAGAGGCATCGGGCGCCGGCGAAACATCCTAAGAGTGAGCATTATTTGTTTATTAATTGCAAGAAATTAAAATTTATTAGTTGTAATAAATTAACTTTATAAAATTATTAATTATATTTTGTCTTATTGTATGCGCATGAAAAAAATTAATACAATAAATTATTGTTTAAAAATATATAGTTATCTGAGCGCTACTATAATTTTTTTTATTATATTTATATGTTACAGATCAACATAGCTTGCAGTTTATTCCATCGTTGCGCATCGATTGGTGAATAATTAATAAAACTATTATTTTATTTCGAAGTAATTGTTTTGTAGAAATTAGAGTAGAAAATGTAGATTTAGATTGTGTAGATTGTAGATTGTAGAATATATAGAGACATTTTCCCATATTGCTTTAAATGAATGGATTATTTTGGAATATATATTTATATATAAATATTTAAAAATTAAAAATATTTCAGTTTAAAAACAGGATAAGAAACATATTTTAAAAAACATTTTATAAAATACATAATAAGTAACAGTTAATTTAACTTAATTTATATTTTATAAAAAACACTGATCATTTGAATGATATTAAATGTAATTAGAAATGTGTGATTATAGATTATTTTATAAATTATATTATAATTACTTATTATAAATGTACTTTAATGTAATTTTTATGTTAATAGTTTGTAATCCATTCATTTATATTAGTTGTTAACTGCACACCAGTTAAACGAATATTTAATTAAATTAAGATAAGGTGAATTTACAAAGTTATTGCGAGTTAAAATATATTTTAACATGAGTAAAAGAATAATAAGAGAAATAGTGATAGGAAAATTTACAATATTATCTTAGAATTTTTAGTCTAAATTATATTTATTTTATTTTACAATTACGGTACAGTATCGCGTAGTTTCATCAAATAATTACAACAAACCGCGTTAAGTCGAATTCTCGTGATGCCGTAAAAAAGTATTCTTTTATTAATCAATTCAATATTTATAATTTTAATATTAATTTTCAATTCATATATACATTTATTAACGTTAATATTCATTAAACGAGGGAAAAGGAAAAAAATATTAAATTTTAGTAAAATAATTAAAGCATGTCTGTGACGACATAATGATCGACACAAAATGTGTTATTAGACAAATTAATGCGACGCGATGTAAGCATTCTAGACATTCGAATGCTGTGCAAAATGTTGCGTATTTAAATGCGGGAGTGTCGCGTACAAAGTATCGCGCGTTTAATTTAAGTGCGGGAGTGTCGTGCAGTGTCGCGCGTTTAGTGCGGGAGTGCCGTTTAAAGTATCGCGCGTTTAAATATCAAAGGACTTTAATAATGGACAATCTTGATCAACCTGAGAGGAGGAACAGGTCTAGGAGGCATCGGGCGCCGGCGAAGCAACTTTGTGGTAAATATTTTATTATTTATATACTTATTTTATTATTTATATTACTTATTATAAATTGCATATAATTTTATTTCTATATTTGAACAAGAGAAAATTAGAAAAAAAATTTTATATATACAAATTTATATTATGTTATTTTTATTAAAATGTAGTTTTTAAAATTTCTTAAAATTAATTAATTATATATATTGTTAATTATTGTGTGCGTTAAATAAAATGTAATAGATGCAATGATAATTTTTAGAAATATTAATTATTTTACATTGCTATAATTTGAATTCTATTTGTATGTTACAGATCAACATAGCTTCGCGATGCAGTCAACTTCGCTGTTACGTGTTTCTCTCCATTGGTGAGTGAATATTATTTTATTACGAGGTAACGGTTTTATAAAAATTAGATTATAGAAATGTAGATTTAGATTGTAGATTGTAGATTTAGATAGTAGATTTAGATAATAGATAGTTTCGTTACCTCACAAAATGGATGGATTACAAATGGACCACAAATTAGGATAAAAATTTCTATTTAAAAAAGAAAAACAAGACAAAAAAAGATTTTATAATATATATTAAATACATGTATTAATTATAATATTAACATTTGATAATATAAATAATTGTAAATAATTGTAAATAATTTATATATATTATCATTATGATGCAATCAGTTTTATTTCAATTTCTTTTTGTAATCCATTTATCCATCTTGATTGATAACTGTCTTTAATTAAAGTTGCATTAAAATATTATGAGCTGTGTAGATATTTTACACTACGATATTTTATTACGAAATTTTAACCGTTTATGTTTAAAACGCATCTTTATATCTGATTAAATATTATCAATTATCTCTCTCTCAACTCGTTATTTTAATAAGCAAAATAAGAATATAAATAGTACAAATTTTAGATTCTCTATATATCGTTCAAGAATAAAATATATAATCTATATTAGAGGAACTTTAGTTTAGAAAACTATATACATGGGATATTATAGTATAAGATGGGGATATTGTAATATGCATAATAAATAATTATTATGCAATTTTATATTAACAGCAGAAATATTTATGATGAATTTATAAAAATAAATTTAATTAATTATATAGCTATCATCTTATGTGGATAATCTATTCTCATAAGAAGCTAATTCCTATAAAAAAATTAAGTTAATTATACGATTATATTTTTATGCAAATAACACATCGACAATTACAAATATTTGAAATATATAAATATATGTATAATAATAAAATAAACGCACTGCGTTTACTTTATTGTTATCTTTTAATAATAAACTTATATTTTAAATATTTATTAAAATAAATAAATAAATTTTGCATATAGAAATTTCAATATTTTTGGATTGAAACAAAATTATTGCGTGTAATAATTTAAATTTTTGCAACTGTCTGTATGCATTATTATATTAAAACTATTTCTAATAAAAGATTCTTAGATTAACAAGATTATTAAAAAATGTATATAAATTTAATCATTTAATTATTGTTCTAACTAAAGTGTTTTTGTAATTGTCACTGTTTTGTCGTCATAAGAATAAATTAAAAAATGTGTTTGCTTATTATAATAGTAAGAAGGAACTCTATTCAATTAAAGAAAATAATTACATCAATGTCTTTAATATAATTCTTTAAAAATAGCATATAATGTATTAATATATATATATATATATATATATATATATATATATATATATATATACACACACACACACACATATACATAGTATGTATAACGTACTATGTATATATATATATATATGTATACATATATATATTTTACTAAACTTATATGCTATTTTTTCTAAGAAACTGTTGAAGATATCATTAGGAATTTTTCTATACACACCACGCAAGAAAATTATATATGTATGTACATATATGTATGTATGCTGTTCAGCGTAATAATCCGCATAATTTTCGAAACGTTTTTGGAAGTTTAAAAATTTGCATAAAATATGTTAAAAAGTTTATAATTGAAAATTAATATTTTATACAAGCTATCACGTGCAATGAAAAAATTAAAAAAATTTTTTTTTATAAAAATATCAATGTTACCTTGAATTTTTTAAATAAAATCACCATATTTTTTATATATAAATCGATTCCTCACAATATTCTGCATAAAGTTATGAAGATGGGATAATCAAAAAGTAAAAATAGTTCACGAAATATTTAATAGTTTATGTAATATTAATTATATCAAATTAAAATATAAAATATCTTGTAAACTATTCACTTTTTAACCATTCTACCCTTATAAGTTTTTATGTAGAATATTGTGAGGAATCGATTTATATATAAAAATATGGTCGTTTCATTTATAAAATTCAAGGTGACTGACATTTTTATAAAAAATTAAAACATTTTTTTTCCTATTGCATGTAATAACTTACGTAAAACATTAATTTTTACTATATAAACTTTTGTTTAAATTGTCAGAAACGTTTCAAAAATCATGCGAATCGTTACGCTGAATATCTTGTATGTATGTATTGTGTAAAGTTTTTTAATGTACGAGAAAATATATTAAAAACGAAATAAATTTAATATTTAAAAAAAAATTTAGGGATTTAGAATAAAAATATTTTTTTAAATATACTTACATCAAACTTTGTTGTGTGACTCTTTGTATATATAGCACAGAAAATCTTAATCTTATTTAGCTATTTAGTATATTAAATATATTTTTGAAATTTTTAATTTAATGGGTTTGACACTGTTACTAGTCTTAATTTATCATAAATTTTTATTTTTTATATAAAAAAAAAATGAAATATATTTGTTTCATAATTTTTTAAATATTTTATATTATCAACTATCTGTTTAAGCATTACGTTTCAGATTAAAAACTACAAAATCAGTTTTGATAAATGTTATATGAACAATAGTACTTGTTCGAAAAAAGATCTCTCTCCTCTCTCTTTCTCTTTTTATTCCTTATTACATATAAACAAATGGATCGGATTTGATCTTGTACTAAAGTTATTAAAAAACAAATGCACTAAAACTACTTTTAAGTTCTACTTTTATTTATGTATCACAAAAAAAACCAAAATTTTTTAAAAATAAAAAATTAAGTTTTTTTAAATTTAGAGTTTAAATAATGATTTTGAACAATAGGATATTTATTTTATGATTACATAGCAGAAAATCAATTTAAAAAATATGTGTTTTTAAAAATGCAGCCATTATAATTGTATATATTTTCGTATTTGCTTGGCATTACATATGTTTGGCAATCATTCTAATTATAATAGTATGTAAATTTTATTTAAAACAATTTTATATTTAATTTCTATATTAATTGTGATGTTATGAAACATTTTAAATTAGCTGGCTATAATTTTTCTCCATAATTTATTACTAATACAATTGAAGACTGTTCTCACATTCAAAGTGCAAATAATAGGATATTGCTCTGATGTGCACCATATAAAACTTGATTCTAAATATATTCAAATTATAATTGTTATATTGATCATCTTTTGAAAAAAATAAAATATCTAAATTAATAAATGCTTTATGAAAGCATACCATCTTGTTGAAAATCATTATCCGCAAATGTAATAAAATAACAATGATAAATGGATATGTTATTTTTATTCAAACTTTATTTTAACACAAAAATTGTAATAATACGAACATGTTTATTGCATTGTCAGTTCTACTAGTATCAATTATACTATGCGTAAAATATATTAAAAACCTTTATTCGCGTTGAAAATTTCATTTATCGCTGATTATTTAATTGTTTATAATTTCATATTTGTGAAACAAATGTTATTCTTTCTTCTAATTAATCTAATTGCAAGGGCTGGCTGGCTGATTTGTGCCTGAAGATTGTAACATGATAGATTGTACAGAGAGAGTAGATGATATGGTGGCTGCTGCCATAGTATCCGAATGATGATGATGATGATATAACGCAGAAGTGTAATACTGTTGATGATGATGATGTGCCAAATGAGGATGATGCGGATGAAGATGACTTGATGTCCTACGGTCATTATTATTATCGCTATTGCTGTTGTTGCTATTATTATTAGCGGAATTATCATTATGACGATTGTGATGATGATTGTTGTTGATTGTGGAGCATAATGAGAAGTTGGCGAAGGAGACGACGAGGAATTCTGTACGTTACAGCTGTTAGCCAGAATGTCATGTACAGTGTGAGGACTTGGCCATTGCAGAGCGTTGTTGGTTGCCGTTTGATGTCCGCCGCTAGTATGAACTGTTGGCGACAATGATGACAGTTTATTCGCTGACGATGGTCCAACTGAAAATGCAGCAATAGCAAAGAAATATATAATCAAATCTATGATCTCTGATCTCGCACAAATTTATATAATAATGCATGTAAGTCATATAGAGAAAAAAAATTTATTTTTAATTAATTTTAAACAATGTAAGATTGAAATATAAGAAAGCGAGAATGATAGAAAAGAGATTGATTGATTGATAATATTGATCACACTAATATTGAATATTAAAAAAAATTTATATGGCTTGAAATCGCCGTGCATAAATCTCTGAAAAGCAAATAAATAAATAAAATTTCTGAGTTCGCAAAAATTTATATAATAAAACATGTAAGTTATAGAGAAAAAAAGAATTTATTTTTAATCAATGTAAAATAATGTAAGATTGAAATAAGAAAGCGAGAATGATAAAAAAAGAGATTGAATTATTATATTTGAACTAAATATTACTTATACATATATAGTTTCCATTAATTGATTGATAATATTGAATATTAACATTAAAAATGAAAAAAATGTATGGCTTGAAATCGCCATGCATAAATCTCCGAGAATAGTAAATAAATATTATAATAAAATCTATATGACCTCTGATTTCATAAAAAAAATTATATAATGAAGTATGCAAGTTGTAGAGAAAAAAGAATTTATTTTTAATCACAATTTAAAACAATATGAGATTAAAATAAGAAAGCGAGATTGAATTATTATATTTGAACTAAATTTATAATTTCCATTAATTGATTAATAATATTGAATTAACATTGAACATTAAGAAAAATATATGGCTTGAAATGCATAAATCTCCGAATACCAACCTTGATGATGATGATGCGTGATGGAGGGTGGCACCGTCGGATGATAAGGTGTCGGTGGATACGGCACAGGACAAAGAGCTGCACCAGCCGCTGCAGCGGCTGCGTAAAGATGATGATGATGATGATGAGCCGAGTGATGTGGATGATGATGCATAGTCGTCGTTATGCCAACTTTATTTCTCAATATCCTCGATATACTGGACACTGAAGGAACGTTGTATTTATCGCAAACACCATCGGACAGCAGCCGATCCCTGATCTCCCAGGCAAAGATTCCCGGATCCTTTAACTTTAATTGTTTAATATATTGCACGACTTTTGGTGTGGTGACTCGCGGCTTACTACCGCCAATTGCGCCTGGCAAAATGCTACCAGTTTCATGATAGCGTGCCAATATCTTACTGACGCATCCGTGACTGACACGTAGTTGTCGTGAAATATCACATGGTCTGATACCCAACTGTGCGAGCTCGACTATTCTCAATCTGACGGCGTTAGGGAGAGGTCTACCATTCACGAATACACCCCCTAATTGATTTACTTCTCCATACTGTTGTTGATGTTGCTGTTGTTGTTGTTGTTGATGTTGCTGTTGCGGTTGCGCTCCAATTTCAATGTTGCTGTTTTCTGTGACATAATTTATCAATAGATTTGTATTCTTCGCCAGAGAGAATTTAAAAAATAATAAGGAAATTAATGATTAGTTCGACCATACTGGCTCTTATTAATATTATTCGTCTTTATTAGATATGAAGTCAGTTGACAGAATGTCTTAGCGACATGTTAAAGTTCACAGCGCTTAACATATTATAATTTATATTTCTATATCTTAATGTGGCTTATTAGAATTGTTTTAATACTTGAAAAGGACCCAAATTTAAGGTCGAAACGTAGTGTACTTCATATCTAATAAAGACGAATAATATTAATAAGAGCCAGTATGGTCGAACTGATCATTAATTTCCTTATTATAATTTATCAATTTCTTATTGTGCACAATTATTATTGTTAGAAAGAAAGAAATAATCACAGTTTTAGATTTAAGAAAATTCATTAATTATCAATCATTTGCAATTTATTTTGCGATTTGATCCATTTTCATATAGTTTAAATCAATCTTTCTTCTTTTTAAATATCTATATCTTATAATATAATTAATGCTTATAATAATTTTAATAATTAATAGTTAATAGTTATTAGAGAGAGAGAGAGAAAGAGAGAGAGAGAGAGAGAGAGAGAGAGAGAGATGATGAAAATATATAGTGTCTATAATGCAGTGTCTATAATTAAGAATTTAAGATTTAAATACATGCATATTTAATATAAATGTGATACAAGTTTTATTATGGTATCTTAATTAATAAATAAATTACTTGCTGATATACATATATAACTAACAAGTATTTATTTTTTCTATTTTAATATTTTAAATTATTCAATTTTACTAATAATATTTGATTTATATATTTATAAGAAACTGCATCATTTATAGCCATTAGTAAAATGGAATTATTTAAAATATTCAAGAAGAATTAACTATTTGTTATATATTATATATATTGCAAGTTATGACTCAATTTAATATATATTTTATATTTCAAATGTGCTATATATACATTGTATATCACCTGTCATGACTGACAAAATTATTATCTGACATTATTTCTTTTACGGTTACATGTAATGTTTGTATTTGAGCGTGTTCATCATCAGTGATGTTTTTTTTTAGAGAACATTTATATAACATTGCAGATGCACGAGTAATTTTGTCTCTGCAATATATTTAATTGTTTCCCAAATATATCTCTTCTCTTCGATAGTCGGAAAATATAATAAATAATAATGATAATTAATAATTATAATAAATAATTCTCCGATTCGGTTGGACAACATCCGATAAATACATTCGATACGATTTCTTTCTAAACTTTTGAATATGTCTTATTTTATTTGGACTAGTCGCAGTTTTTCTACATTTTGTTGCGCGTTTCAAATATTTTTTATATGGATACAAGAATAGTTTTTTTATATTATATTCTATAGTTATAAAAGAAATTGTACATTTAAGGAAAACGTTGAGGATTCCTATATAGAATTCATACTTTATTAAGAAGTCTTTGATAATAAATACCGCGTGTTTTAATTTTACGGTCATTTAATTATATCGTCGGCTTACATTTTGTCGATTATATGCTTTGTGTCTTATTATTTTGATAAATGCGATTCTATCTTTAAAAATCAGCGTTTCGTCTGTTAGATACTTTTTATTAATCGTAATAATGAAATTTCTTTCCCCTTTCTGAATACTCATACAACATGCTTATTTTTTGTGTTTTAATTAATGTACTAATACAACACTAGCAAAATTGGTTTTTGCATTTGTTTGCAGTGTATTTATAAGTAATACAATTAATATTCTAACGTAAGAGAGAGTCATGATATTTTTTATTCATTCTTTTTCGTCTTTTTTTTGTCACTGAAGCGTATGAAATTAAAATTAAAATTATTATTATCCTTTTTGTTATCGACTCATAAATTTTTAATAACTTCCCATCCGATTTGATTAATTTGTTCCATTCGTTTAAAAACTAACATATTCATCACAGATTTTTTACAATAATTGCAAAATTTTGCACACTTTCTCCCGATTTTATTTTAACGAACATTCTTCAAAAGTTTGTACATCTCGTATTTATAAATCCAAGACATATTTTCCATTTAGTTGAGTGCAAAATAGCTTTGAATAATATTTCATCTTCAGGATTAATATTTTGAACGGCGCATTCACTGCTTGCACTTATAATTAGAAATTCGTGTAATTCATTCCGCGAGGTTCTGTCGAATTCAAAACACATATTTGATATGCATATAGCTTCCTTTAATTGCAGATCATATTGAACGGCCTTTCGTCGGTTTCTTACGTCGTTTTCTGTGCGTCTGTACGTGACGTCGAATCTTTCGTTATCGTATTCTCGGCGTCTTGGATTTCTTTCGTCTATATTTGTGCGGAGTTTCGTCACGCATAATGTATTCATTTCCGTTTGCATCTCTCGAACTCCTTGTACGCGTTCGAGTAATATATCGCGCTTTCTCCTCTTTCTTCCCGATGAATCGCGAAGAGTTTGCACACATCTATCTCTGCCGTTCATCTATTTGTCTGATATATTATTTCGAACAATAAGACGACTCATTTCTTCACATCGACTGCTTCTAGAGAAATTATTGATACGGATCCATTTTACAATATTGCATATTTTAGATTTCTATATAAGTTTCGTCAAAATTGAAAATATACTATATAGGAAATTAAATGAAAATTTTCTTCTTTCATCTCGTTTTTACAATTTTTCTAAATGATATACTAGTTTTGTGTGTAAATATTTTGTTTTATAAATATATTCCACAAGTAGAAAGTAGATGTATTTAAGAAGATAGATAATGTTAATTTTCAACACTAATAGACTTATATATGAATATCGTATTTTATAAATATCGGTGAAACCACATTGGTAATTTTCTATTCAATAATTTCCTGTTCTTTTTACTTTTACGTTTTTTTCTTAAAATGTAATCGCTTTTCTAAAAGTTTCACAAAAAATAGGAAAACAATAAATAGAAATCAAAATCGTTATAAGTGATACACATAACGTACACAGATTTTCTCGTTATTTATAAAGCTTATAATTGCCATTCTTCATAAATTTAAAAAATAAAGAAAAAAGAAGAAAAATCAGAAAAAAAAAATATTGGCATAGAATTTTAGTTTATTAATTAAATTAAAAATCTGCTTTACAATTTTTTAATACAACAATAGACCATTTTCGAGAACGCTCGGGTAACTTGTTAAGATATTATCTCGAGAAGCTTGAAACAGGAGACGCGCGTGTTATATGGAGTAATATAACTAGTTTATTGCGACTGTTGTTCAATCGTGGTAAATATGATATTCGAAAAAAATATAGTCGCGCTTATTTTGCACGAGACATATTAATACGTGATTTAATTCACTCAATCGAAGCGATGTGACGCGGCAATTATCGGGTGGAAATCATGCATGATCTCTAGTTGCAAAAGGCGGAGCTTTGCGTTAATTAATTTTGGTAGGCGGTACCGATTGATGTACCCGCGTAAGTTCGGTGCCGAACAGGGTGTTTCAGAACTGACAGAAATTTTTTAATGTCAAATTCCTGGTATCATTTGGAGACGATTTTTCCTTAGTGAAAATGTTGAGGAAAGCCATCATTTTTAGCATGTTCCTAATTTTTGCTATTTTATGTCTCTTTATAACTAAGCTTTATATTAAAATTTGATTAAAGCAAACTCTACCTAAAATTAACTAAAGAATGTAGTTCTGTTAATATTTTATTCACAAGGCTTAGTTTCGAAAAAAGTATTTTCAACTGCTTATATAATTCGAAAATTATTGGTGTCTCGATATTTTTGCTGAGGAAAAATCGTCTCCGAATGATATCAGGAATTTGCCATTAAAAACTTCACCGCCAGTTCTGAAATACCCTGTATGTTCATGCAAAGCCGTAGTAGTCGATTCTAGCGGCGCGGATCTTAGGAGCGTAAAAATGGCGTCGCGGCTTTAAATGATGCACGCGTATTTTGGTCCTTGTATGGCGGTAGAACAACATATGTTCAGACAGACAAATAGTCTTGGTTATAGCAAGAGTATGACTTGGAACAGGGTGTCTAGCGGTCAGGGAAATCTGGAAAACCGGGCATTGTCAGGGAATTTTAAAAATCTAGAATTGTCAGGGAAAAGTCAGGAAATTTTACTATTTATCTGGATTTTTTCACATTACTCTACATTTGTCTCAATAATTTAAATTTTTTATTATTATAAATAAATATAAACTTTCTCTTGACTCCCAGCACGCTAATTTTTTGTGCTGTTAAAAATCGATTTCTCTATACAGCGTGTTTATTAATTTATATTTTCATCGTCGTGTTATTTTATTTTAATGTGTTTGATAAAGACAAAACTAAAAAATTTGATATAATATAAATAAAAAAAAGTGATTATTTAAATAGTTTATAGTGACATGTTTGTTTCGATTATCGTACATAATGCAGATTGTATAATTGATTTAAATTTTTGTTTTAACTTCCGAATCTTTTCATTGTTGACAAAAATATCTCAAAGATTTCATGATTTAACATTTAATTGATTAAAATATCTCAAAGATTTCATGATTTTACATTTAATTGGTTTATCATATAGATGTATGCAAATTATATTTAAAAAAAATAATACTAAAAAGTCAGGGAATTTTTTTCATCGAGTCTGCTGGACACCCTGTTGGAAGCGAGAAATAAAGCTCGCTGGAGAACATATTTCACCCTCGTCACATACATTTTTGTACTTTAAGATCGCGGCATTTGGATTTTGTAATTGAGAATTCTCGAAAGAAGCGAAGAACACTTCCATCTCGATTTTCTTCTCCCAGTTCTGCTATTAAGATTCGGTTTCGCAGTATTTTTTGCCGGGGTGCAACTTAAAATGCTTCGGGGACAGATCTGGTAAAAAGAATCTATAAGAGCTAGTTTTTTATATTGAAAGTTTCCTTAGCTCGGCAATACCCGGTTCCATTCTTTGGAACGATGCCGGTGGCGAACGT